CATCCCCTTTATTCACTCCCATAAATAATAAGTTGTCAGTGGGTACCTTTTTAAAAGTCCGCATTCTATACAAAGTAGTTTATGCTTCAAATGCTTGGATGTGGTCCCCCTGGGGGTATAGCTCATCTTAGTATTGGGTGTAATTTCTTGTAAAGGATTGGATTTATAAGCGTGACCTCTGATTCCACTCCCCCCCTATTCAGTAGTCTTATGACCAGCAGTTTCTGAGTCGATGCAATCACTGCTATTGGCACCAATAATCACACCTTACATCACAAATCTCCTTGGTTCTAATGTCTGGTTGAGCAACAGTTTGTATATTTATATATTGAGTTGCAGCAACTTGAGACTTATTGTGTGTGTGTGTGTGTGTGTGTGCACGTGCACACACACACATGGGAAAGCTTCTGGGGACCCTTAAGAATGTGGGGGCCCTGGGCCATTTCCCAGTTTGCCTTTACTTCCACCCCTGGATCTAGGATTATCTTGAGGAAAACCCCAATGCTTTTTAAAGACATTGAGTTGTGTGTGAATATTTTGCCGCATGTTAGGATTTGTATTATTATAAAATACAATTGCATTTGGCAAAAACTCGTACACCCAAGAAAATGCATGACATTACTCTTCATTATACATATGTACTGTTATTAAATAAGGACACATGTCTCATTTATGATGCCAGATCTATATATTGAATCTGTTTTGTCCAGGAAGCAATTAAACATCGGGAGATGTAATTATTCTTCTAATTACTTTATTACCTTTGTAGCTGCAGAGGAATGGTCACATTTGTAACCTGTACACAGTTCCTAATGAGTATAAAAGCTTTGTGCTTTTTTTTTTTTTTTTTTAAGGCACTTTACCCTTTTCTGCATCAAAGGCACCTTCAGAAATGTTTTATAATGACAATCTCCAAGAACACATTTTTAGATAATTGTCGGCTTTGTATTCTTTGCATAACTTTTATTTTTCTTTTCCTCCCCTGTCTTCTCAGAGTGGCCATGTTTACTAAGGGCAGATGAATCCATCTCCCTTCACTTCCTGGAACTCTGGTACATGTGACTAGGGCATGTGACCATGTACATCATCTCGGGGGAGGAAATGTGTTTCCCTGAGATCTTGTGAGATTTTACAGTTTACAAATGAGATTTCCCAGCAATACACTGCTGATATAACCTTCCCAGGATGCATCTCTTAGGCACGGGCTACATCGCTAATACCTAATTGGACAAGGAAGTAGAAAAACACTAATTGTTGGTAAAATAACTGTAAATAAATGTTTAATGAATGTAAGATGACTTCATATCGGCATGCAGAGCTGCATCAAGATGTGATTTTTAGTGAAGGGGCTAAAGGTCCACTTTAAGCAGTGTAAAAAATAGAACCCCTGTCAGGCTTTTATTGCGGTCTGTGGCCCTGTTAGGGTAATTCACCATCACTGTTTGTCCTGTTGACCGTTACCACAGACAGTGAAATTGTAAGACAATCCTAAATCTTGAGTTGTCACCAGAACTAGAATATAGGGGATACTAGTTCTGGTGTCCCTTTTGACAACAGGGATTTCCTCTTCCTGCTGTGGCTATGGCACAGGAAGTAAAGATAAATCTTTCAAATGAGACACATAATGGCAAAAAATGATTTATAACCCTCCCCATCTCTATCAAAAATGGAAAACAAAATTGGCTTTAGTTCCACTTTACCATACTTGAAGTCCTTTTTTAATATAACATGAAAAGAGAATTTGAGAACCAAAGTAAGATCAACACCAGGAACTGGGAACTCTGGTGTAGTGAAGTTTAGGATGAAGCCTCCTGGAAGGTGTCCGAAGCCACCAGTTGTTTCATCCTACCATCTACTACTGACATGTCAGTTTTGGGTTGAGGAACCCTTCCAACGTTTGTCTCAGTAATGATTGATTCATCTCAACTTTTCCCTTGAGATTGTTAACGCAACTATCCACCCCTCCTCCTATGCCAAGGTCCTAGGTGTCATCCTTGACTCCGACCTCTCCTTTCTTCCCCAAATCCAATCCCTATCCAAATCCTGCCACCTTCACCTTCGTAACATCTCCAAAATACGCCCCTTCCTCACCAATGAAACCGCAAAATTACTCATCCACTTCCCTGTTATCTCTTGTCTTGACTATTGCAACTCCCTCCTCATTGGCCAACCTCTACACAGGATATCCCCCCTTCAGTCTATCATGAATGCAGCTGCTAGACTCATTCACCTTTCCAACCGCTCAGTGTCTGCAACCCCCCTCTGCCGATCTATACACTAGCTTCAAATAGCCCAAAGGATAAAATTCAAAATATTAACAACCACTTACAAAGCTATCCACAACTCTGCTGCCGGCTATATCTCCAACCAGGTCTCAAAGTATCACCCTAACAGTCCCCCCCACTCTTCAAAAGACCTCCTGCTTTCCAGCTTCCTCGTCAACTCTTCCCATGCTCACCTCCAGGACTTCACTAGAGTCTCTCCCATCCTATGGAACTCTTTACCCCAACCTGTCCGTCTATCTCCCACGCTGACTGCCTTTAGGCGATCCCTTAAGACTCCTCTCTTCAGGGAAGCCTATCCCACCTCAAACTTACCACTCCACCATCCCGTTCGCAAACAATTCATCCCCACACAGCTACCTCCTCATGTATCACTTCCCCCTCCCTATTAGATTGTAAGCCCTCAGGGGCAGGGCCCTCCTTACCATCTTGTCTTGAATTGTATTGTGATTGTAATGTCTTCCTTATATTGTAAAGCGCTGTGCAAACTGTATAATAATAATAATAATAATTCATAGTTGTCAGATGTCTCAGAAGCGTGATGGGAAAGTTGTTTTTTGGGGAATGACGGCCTGTATATTTTACAGACGGGAAAGTTGAAGGACGGAGCACGCTCAGTGACCAGGACGATCCAGAACAACTTTTTTGATGGCTCCAAGCAAGAAGCGATAGATGTGCTGCTGCTGGGAAACACCTTGAACAGCGATTTGGCTGATAAAGCGCGAGCTCTCCTGACTACTGGAAGTTTACATGGTATGTGGGGGGAGCATTGTCTGTCCTCTCTAACATACAACGCTCATCCTGCCCATTACGAGACCCTGTCTCCAGACCATTCGTTTCAGCAACAATCCTCCCATAAGATTATATGTGAATTTTGCATATTTTTTGCTCATTATGCTCCCATGTGTAGGTATCTAAAAAGCTTGAGACTGCTGCTGGGCTTTGCCATCAGGGATGTAATGTCAGTAGACTCAGAGCTGTCACTCACATAACACTATTGTATTCCCCTCGCTCCTTCGCCGGCAGCCACATCAAAGGCTATATAGAAAGCCGAGGGAGGACTTGGAGGAGCTGGGCCAGCACAAAGTTATTTGACACTGTCAAAACAGTAGAGGGCTAGGACATTCGAACAGGGGGAGAGGGGGAGCTAGAGAACTGACTCTTGCTGAAGGGGTCAAATTTTTATGCAAGTTAAAAAGCACATTGCACGTAAAGAAAATGTAGTATATGGAAAAGAAAACCTCTGCAAGTAAGTATTTAGGATATTAAAATTTTCCGTGCATTTACCTGGAGTTCTGTTGGTGACAGGGTCTCTTTAAGTCTTGTTCATTGAGCTGGACCAGTCCCATTGTAATTTTCAGTTTTGTCTCGGATGCTGATGGTTCCTCCAGAAAAAGAAATGAAAGCAGATGTAAACCCTTACTGACTGAATGACCTCTAATGTACTAAATCATGCTATTTCTTTATTAAAATAAAACAGCTTTCACCTTTTTTATTCGTTGCTGTATCTCAGTTCTGCTTTAATGGCTTCAAAGATACCAGCAGTATCTTTGAAGCCATTTCCCACTTCCTGTCTATGTGATCCTCAGCAATGGCTGCATGGTATTCATCAGGGTGGGTTTCCTGATGGTGACAACGTTGGACAATTTCTGCATTATTCGTGTTGCCTAATATCCAGAATGAGTCTGCTTTGGTATACCTGTAGGGCACCCATTGGCTTAAATGTTTGGTTGCGGAACTTCGTGCAAAAAACTCCTATTGTGTATGCCCTTTGATGGAGAATGCCTCAATGATGCCACTGGGGGAAAGAGCATGTTTTTACCTCGGCAAAAGAAAGCTAAGCATCAATCTTGGAAACCTTCTACCTCTGAGGCTAAGAAAACGCTCTTTCATTTACTCCAGGCCTCCAAATCTAATACGATTCCAGGAACTCAGTTCCAGTCTAAGCAATGGACTTCTAAGTCCTTCAAACCTGAAAGCAAGGCATACTCCCAGTGAGTGGGCGCCCTCGCTTGTTGGGGTGGGGGAACATGCGTTTGGTTTGCACAGGTTCCCTTCAGATGTTTGGGTCCAGAAAATGGGGCTACAAGCTAGAATTTTGATCCCTGCCACCACCCTGCTTCATGTTGTCAAACCTGCCAATGTCTCTGCAAGGCTGGAGGATTTCCACTCTGCTCTTTCCTCTCTCAAGTGGTCATAACCATTATTCTGGAGCAGGAAAGGTTCCAAGGTTTGTACTCAGATTTGTTCACAGTTCCCAAGGCAAAAGGGGCGTTCTTACTATTTCTCAACCCCCCCCCTTTTTAGGGTACAGATATGCCATATGAAATCTACAAGGTCAGTCATTGCCTCTCTTTGTCCCAGAGATGCCTACTTGCTTGTCCCAACTTTCTGGCACATCAATGCTTCCTGTGTTTTGCAGTGTGAACTCAACATTACCAGTTATTTGGCCTTCCTTTTGGTCTATGCACTGCACCTCAGGTCAGTCTTGGGGCAATCCCATAGTTCTCAGATCTGGAACCCAACTCATCGCTTGGAGTATCTAGTTCTTGTCCTTGATGTCCAGAGTCTTCCTTCCACAGAAAAAAAAACCTCCAAGCTCTCTACTTCCATGTTTTGCTTCTTAAAACATTTCTGGCTGTGTGGGACAAGAATGTTCAGTCTTTGGACCATTGTATATGCATGACCCCCAAAACCAGGCTTGAGTCCAGCCCTGGAGTCTGGCAAACCCTTTTCTCTGCTGAACTGGAAGGTTCTCAGGATGGATGCCAGCCTGTCATGCTGTGGAGGAGTCTTTTATACCCTCTCTGCATATCCCAGGAGAAGATCGGCAGGCTGACTTCCTCTGTCATCACTGTCTGGATTCGGGGGAAGTCTTTACAGGTTTGTATGCCAATGTCCAATCTCCTGAAAGCAGCAGCATAACCCTATGTACCGGAATTAACATCATGTGTCCCTTCATTTACTCAAAGAATAGTAGTTTACTGTAAGTCAATAATCCCATTATTGCAGCTCACTTATCCTTGACCTTGGTTTTCATTTTTCAGACTAAGAAAATTTTCAGCAAGTGTAGAAAATATCTGTTCATCCTGTTGGATATGTCCTTGTCAATCCCTGTGAGCTTAAAAGAAAGAATGAAGGACAATTTCTTTATTGTTTAAACTACTAGACCGTTCAATCCACCATGTAATGGAGATGAACAAATGCAGACATGTTTGAAGTCCAGTGTGGGTGACAACCATAGCTGGCCTCATAAATACAATGGAGAAATTAGTAGACATGTGCACCAGCAAAAAAATTAGTTTCGTTTTGATTCGGATTTTACGTTATTTTGTTTTTCGGTATTCGAGTCCGAAAGTCAATTCGGTTCGGAATTTGGATTCGGACGAATTTCGTTAGCGGTAGTCTGTACGAAATTTTGTTTCGTTTTCGTTGCAGCACAGTGAAATTAAAAAGGAAAAAAAACATTTTTTTTTCTTTTTAATGTCACTTTGGTGCAACGAAAATTCGTACAGATTACCGCTAACTAATTTCATCCAGGAAATTCGGATTCGTTTTCATTCATCATTTCTGTTCAGAAATTCGGATACATCCGAATGACGAAAATTTGTCCGACAAAACAAATTTTTCCGAAACGAATCTAGAATCGCATCATGTCTAAAAACTTAGGATGTGCGTTTGCAGCTTTACCAGGTACAAATAAAGGTAGAAAACAGAAAAATGGAAACTAATGCAACTCTCACATCTAGGGACTGGTAAGCTGCAATCATCTATTACAGTTTGGGGTTTATAGATACTTTGAATTGCCCTGAATTTTGATATCTCAGCTGTGTTTCTGACTTGCTCAGTTATTTGCCATTAACAATCTGTTCTTTCCTTTTCCTGCTGCCTGATCAGTGTCAGAACTCATGTTGCAATCAGGTATAGTAATGCACTCTGACCACTTCGTATACATATTTTCCCCTAATTATTGTAATGAAATGACATTTTGCTTATGAGAAGAATACGCCTGAAATCCTTTTGATGTCACATATACTTTAAGTTAGTCCTTTCAGATGAAATCATCACGTTGGTGCACATTGGGCTTCCTAATAACTTGTTAAAAACAAAAGTGCTGAGTTGGACCAATACTTGTTACAACCAATCAGTGAAGCTCTTTCACTTCCCTTTTTCTGCTTAGGAAAGTGAAAGCTGATGTCTGATAGGTTAACAGAAAACGGCATAGATGCATGTTGTACAGCAGGTTTATTTGGACTTTGGGGTTTGATTTTCAGACTGATTGAATGTTTTTTTGTCCTTTTTCTAGCATCACCAAGGGTACTGCAAAGCATGTGTGAGAATTATTACAGGTACGCCAAGCCCAGGAAAATCCGGATTTGCATTGGTACCTGGAATGTGAATGGAGGGAAGCAGTTCAGAAGCATCGCTTTTAAAAATCAAACTCTGACAGACTGGCTACTCGATGCTCCAAAACTTGCTGGAATTCAGGAGTTCCAAGGTAACCCAGGCTCTGTTTTCATTTCATACACTTTGGTTGTATCACAGACAAATTGCAGGCAACCACTGGAACCGGTCAATGAACTCGCAGCGCCACCTAGCAAAGGTTCACTCAGTTTTACCTTGAAGCTGAACTCCGGCCTCCCCTTCAGTCTTGTGCAGTTGTACCGGCTCCTCTCCTGGACTGACATTGCTTCCTCTGATTTCACTGCACACTGCGAGCTTCTCACAATGTGCATTAGAATGTGCAGCAAGTCAGATAGAGCCAGCCTCATTTCCTGGCTGGAGGATGTCCAGCATTATCTAGGGCTTTCCTCCCCGTATTGTCCCTGACGCACCCTTTTCATTGATTTGTATTTGTCTTTCAATCATGAAGGCTTAGCATTAGATTTGGACATTGCCTAGGGTGGTCTGCATACACATACAGTTTGTCTAGGAATGCCCACTGCTCCAGACATATCTCCCCACCAAGGCAATTTGATATTTGGATAACTCCTCTCAAAAGCCAGCCCACTGCTCAGATCAGGGCTGTGGGCTCTTTAGAGAGGTACTGAGGCAGGGTGCTGTGATGTTTTCAGGAAGCCATGTACAGCACCCTGCTGGCCCCTCCCACCAGCCATGTTCTGCCTGCATTACATAGAGAAACAAACAGACCCAGTGATGATGTCACTGGGTCTAAAACAAGGTGTGTAATGACAATCTAAATGTTAAAAAAAAAAGTATCGCCAGGTTTCTGAGGGGGAAAAATGAGGAACCAGGGAACCATTCCGGTGGCCAAGTTACAGTACATCTTTCGCTCTTGAAGTGCTTTGGATGGCATCTTCCAGCCTTCCTTCCTTATCTTGCTCGTGCTGCATAGCCTGTATCCCGCCACCATTTGAGGTTCCTTGCCCCGGCTGGTACATCACTGCAGAACATTGCAGTAATATAGTGTGTAGCAGGAGAACCACAGTACCCAGCAAGGAACATCTCTATCTGACAAACCCAGAGCAATATATACATTTCCTTTAGTCCCTTGAAGTCAAGTCAGGCATGTGAGTGCAGGGAGGACTGTCTAACACGTTAACCCCTTTATGATGAGATCATGGAGCTATGGTCTTGAGTTGGATGTTCCCATGACACAAGTACTTCATATACCGACATCACTACACTAACTGTTCTACCAAAATAGCCAAAGGTCTATGACCAGGTCTTGGTGAATACTGGAAGCTGGTCTGTGGAGCTGATTTACTAAACATGTAGAGACTGTGCACTTAGAAAATTGAAAGTTCGCTAAGTTTAGTTAATAATTTTAAGCCGTGTTCATTTTACTTACCCAGTTGTGTGCTGGGGAAAATCGTCTTTTTTTAAATTTCTATGTCTGGGTATCATCTAGACCAGCCTTTCTCATCCAATGTTCCTCCAGAAGTTGATTTGGGTTTCTTTGACTGATTGACCTCCCATTTGGTGGTGCCTGCATAATTCTGGGGCCAGTGCCCCTTGTCTGAGCTGGAACTGTGAAACCAAAGGTCTTTGTATCAGACTGTAAGGATGGCGTTCTCACCACCTCTGTAAGGGGGGCATTAATCCCTCTGACCACTGTAAGGGGGGCGTTCTGACCACTGTAAGGGGGGCGTTCTTCCCACTGACCGCCAATGTAGGAGGGGCATTCTTCCCACTGGCCGCCAATGTAAGAGGGGGATTCTTCCCACTGACCGCCAATGTAAGAGGGGGATTCTTCCCACTGACCGCCAATGTAAGAGGGGGTTTCTTCCCACTGACCGCCAATGTAGGAGGGGCATTCTTCCCACTGACCGCCAATGTAGGAGGGGCATTCTTCCCACTGACCGCCAATGTAGGAAGGGGCATTCTTCCCACTGACTTTAGTTTTATCAGGGGTTCCTCAAGACCATGAATCTGTTTCATCGATAGTCTATACTCCTGTATAATCTGAAGATCTTAACATCCTAACATCTTAAATGTTCCTCTCCTTTTTTCTTTTCTTTACTTCAGATAGAAGAAGCAAGCCAACAGATATATTTGCCATCGGCTTTGAGGAGATGGTTGAATTAAATGCAGGAAATATTGTCAACGCAAGGTGAGTCTTACAATGTTCTGTTACTGGCCTTTAGATAACTAAAGCTAAGCCCCACCCACTATTCCCCCATGTTTCAATGGCCTTTAGGTCATACTGACCACATGGGGGATGATGAATGGATAAAGCTTAGCACCAAATTCAGAGAAGTCAATTATTTTAGGTGGACTGTTAATGTCTCGCATGCATGTCAAATTGATGTTTGTGTTGCTTTAATGTGTCTTTTTCTTACAGCACAACCAACCAAAAGCTGTGGGCTGTGGAGCTGCAGAAGACCATATCTCGGGACAATAAGTATGTTCTGCTGGCATCAGAGCAGTTGGTCGGAGTGTGTCTCTTCATCTTCATAAGGCCCCAGCATGCCCCTTTCATCAGGTCAGTCATCAATCAGAATTATTGATTAGTGGTCGTACACAGCTGGAAATTGGCAATAATTGGGTAATAAAGGAGTCATCAGCAAATTGATATTGGGTATCAGTGAGCATTGTAGCTCCTCGTATTCACCTGCTGGGATTTTACAATGTGTTTAAAAATAATTCTGCTGTCAATCAGCAATCATCCCCTTTCCTTTGCAGCGAAGGATAGGTGCTGGTGGCATGCAGTTCTTACAGGGAAGAGCGAATATTTTCTGTCATCACCACTGATTTGTCCACAGACAGTGAAGTATATGTCGAGCTAAAAAATGGTTTTTCCATCTTTTTATAGAGTGGGGAAGGATTACAACCCCTGTCTGTTTTTTACTGCTATCTGGGGCTACTTTAGAGGGATTTCCCTTCACTTCCTGCTTCTCACAGTGTGCATTAGAAGCTGCAGCAAGTCAGAGAGCTCCTGCCTTATTTCCTAGCTGGAGGATGTCCAGCTTCATCTAGTGCTTTCTTTCCCCAGGCTTATTTTCCCTGGCCTGCCTCTTTCATTCAATGGATTTTATTATTATTTCAATCATGGAGGTTTGGCACATGTGAGCATTACCTAGGGCAGTTTGCATGCATATGCAGTCTGCCTAGGAACACCGAACACTGAGGAACCAGGGAAGGCAAAATATAAGTAACTTTAAATCTGAACGATACACAGAATACCTGGAGGTCCATCCACCTTTCCCTTCTTTAAAATGATTTCTCATGTATTAACTCATCCCTGCTGTACCCCTCTTTTATGAAAATGGGAGACAGTCTGCTTACGGATTGCTGTGACACTTACAGAATGTTAGAATAAATATACTGTTTGTTACACTATATTACCAAAATTATTGGGACGCCGGCCTTTACACGCACATGAACTTTTAATGGCATCCCAGTCTTAGTCCGTAGTGTTCAATATTGAGTTGGCTTCAACTCTTCTGGGAAGGCGTCCACAAGGTTTAGGAGTGTGTCTATGGGAATGTTTGACCATTCTTCCAGAAGCGCATTTGTGAGGTCAGGTACTGATGTTGGACGAGAAGTGTCCGCTCTAATACATCCCAAAGGTGTTCTATCGGGTTGAGGTCAGGACTCTGTGCAGGCCAGTCAAGTTCCTCCACCCCAAATTCCCTCATCCATGTCTTTATGGACCTTGCTTTGTGCACTGGTGCGCAGTCAAGTTGAAACAGAAGGGCGCCATCCCCAAACTGTTGCCACAAAGTTGGGAGCATGAAATTGTCCAAAATGTCTTGGTATGCTGATCCCTTAAGAGTTCCCTTCACTGGAACTAAGGGGCCAAGCCCAACCCCTGAAAAACAGCCCCGCACCATAATCCCCCCTCCACCAAACTTTACACTTGGCACAATGCAGTCAGGCAAGTACCGTTTTCCTGGCAACCGCCAAATCCAGACACATCCATCGGATTGCTAGACAGAGAAGCGTGATTTGTCACTCCAGAGAACACGTCTCCACTTCTCTAGAGTCCAGTGGTGGTGTGCTTTACACCACTGCATCTGACGCTTTGCATTGCACTTGGTGATGTAAGGCTTGGATGCAGCTGCTCGGCCATGGAAACCCATTCCATGAAGCTCTCTATGCACTGTTGTTGTGCCAATCTGAAGGCCACACGAAGTTTGGAGGTCTGTAGCTATTGACTCTGCAGACAGTTGCCGACTTCTGCGCACTGTGCGCTTCACCATGCGCTGACCCCGCTCTGTCATTTTACGTGGCCTACCACTTCGTGGCTGAGTTGCTGTTGTTCCCAGTTGCTTCCACTTTGTTATAATACCACTAATAGGTGACCGTGGAATATTTAGTAGCAAGGAATTTTACGGAACACCTGAATCCAATGATTTGGAGGGGTGTCCCAATACTTTTGGTAACATAGTGTATATCATTAATAGTTTAGAGGTTGTACTATATCTTGATGTAGAAAAGAGAAATAAAGCACAGTTAATCACGTGCCTAATAGCTAGCTACTTGTTGTGGGTCAGTGAGTTACCAAGTACTGTTGGAAAAAGTAAGGGCGATGGAGCATCATATGACACATGCACCTTTAAATACAAGTCACCTATGAACGTCCCACATTACTGTATGCACTGCACACTTGTGTCCAAATTTTCCTCCTAATTTTTCTTTTGCTAGTACTGCCAGCTCCACTTTCCCTGCTGCTGCAATCGTCTCCACCACTTATCCCTCATCCGATGCCTTCTCCATTTCATCATTGGGCAGACACTGATGATGTAGCTCGGCTACAGACAACTTACACCAAAAAATAAATTGCTTGGTGAAAGCATTTTGGGAGAAGTGACTTGCAGTGCCTCTAATTCCAGAAAGCTTTCCTGATTGCAAATTTTTTTTTTTAGACTTTAGTTTAGGATTTCGTCCTTTATCTATACTTTCCAAAAAGATAATTTGGAGTGCTGTGATGCTCCAATACACATGTAGTAATAAGCCAGCCTGGCAGATCAGCTTTTCTATAGACAAACATTGCTTTCTTGCAGTATGCAGGATAGAGCTTGAGCGGTTTGTACCTTTCTTCTTTAGTCTAATGTGTTTTGTCTTTGGCCATTTTTATCTAGGGATGTTGCGGTGGACACAGTGAAAACCGGAATGGGAGGAGCCACGGGAAACAAAGGTGCAGTCGCCGTCAGAATGCTCTTTCACACCACCAGCCTCTGCTTCGTCTGTAGTCACTTTGCTGCTGGACAGTCTCAGGTCAAAGAAAGAAATGAAGACTACAATGAAATATGTCGCAAGCTAAGCTTTCCAATGGTACTGACTCCCAGTTCTCAAATCTCTGTATTTAAAAGAGGGCTTAACCTGCAGTTTTATAGAAATTATAGGTACTGAGATCATCTAAAACTTGTGGTTTCCTAAAACTGGATGGCCATGTGTGTGTGTGTGCATGCATATTTATAGTAAATTTTAAAACCTTAACCTTAGAAAGGTGTAGGTCAGACAAATTATTTGACTGTCTATGAAGCCTTTTTTTTAGAGAAGCTGCCATGATCATAAACATTGCATCCCAGAATGGCGCAGGACATCTCTTGCTATACAAAAGAAATGATGATTATTATCATTGTAGGCAAATATGTCTTCATAGACAGCCAAGCTGGACATTCATATTATCCTTTTATTCTCCATTTTTTTTCTGTTTTAAAGAGCACCTAAACTCTGGACCCTGTGTAAAAAGAAAAAAGGCATGCAGAGGGCAAAGTACTTAGTGTTGGACTGGGCCAGAGGTCAGGGAGGCATTTGCCATCCCTAGGGTGGTGTGTCTGTGTCATATTGGGACAGATGCTGGTGGCCCAGAGTGAGAAGGATCTCTACCTGCAGAGCTCTCACAACAGCTTCCACAGATGGTTGCAGCTGTTAGTTCCCCGTGCATATTGTCATTCCAATGCTTGCAGATATGTGTGGGGAGTGAGTTGCATGGTTTGCAGTAGAGCAGCCAACAGAGAAAGTCTTTTGTCGCTAACTCGATGGACATGTGTCTTTTTTTCAACCTAACTATGTAACTTAGGAAGAGGAAGTAAGTGACTGAAAATTCAGTGTTCTACAAAAGCAGGTCCTGCTGAAAGGTCTGCACGGCAAAGCAGTAGCAATCCTAGCAGCAAATGTCAATGCTTTAGTTAAGGGATAATATTGGCAGGTTAATATATATATATATATATATACGCACCCGCACACAGTTTTAACACACACCGTTTTAAACTAGCAAAATGGAGAAAGAGGTACATGGTCAGGGCAACAGCTGGCATGTCTGGTTGCATTCCATAGCCATTTTAAGTGCTATAAAAGATGAGATGTAGTCAAAATATTGTGTAATGAAATAAATAAAGTAAGAACATAGAAGACAGGTGTGCTGCAGTTTTGCCTGAAAAGTAGTTACAAGAGTAGATCAAATATTCCTCCATCCAGGAGTCCTCCTCAAAAGAGATCTTTTTTTGAGCTTTTATTGAATCCATAATATAAAATAAATATTCATACACATCATTTGATTCCCATTTATGCATTCTGTACTCCAAGCTTTCTGCTTCCTCTCTCCCTCCTTATGGTTTGATTATAAGTTCTCTACCCCCTCCCCCCATGATCTACTCTCTATGACCTCTTATAGCCCTTTAATTAATGCATCTCTCTTGCACATTCTGGTTTTAATACCTCCTCTCTCCCCCTTCTTTTCAAACTGGTTTTACTACTTCTTTTCTTTCCCTTCTCCTCAATCTGATCTCACTGCCTTTTCTCTTCCGTAACTGGTCTCACTGCCTCTTCTCTCCCACAATCTTTCCAATCTGGTCTCACTGCCTCTTTTCTTCCCTTTTCTCCTGAAACTGGTCTTGCAGCCTCTTCTCTTCCCTCCTCATCACTCTGGTCTCCATTTTATAGCCCTTCAGCGAATGCACCTCTCTTGCACAATCTGGTCTCACTGCCTCTTCTCTCCCCCTTCCTCCCCCAATCTGGTTTTGCAGTATGGTCTCAGTGTCTTTTCTCTGCCTCTCCTTTCCGTGCGGTCTTTTCTTCCCCTCTTCTTTAATATAGTCTGATACTTCCCCACTTGTTAAGAATATGTAAATAGTTGAATGTCCATATCCTGGCCAAAGTTCTATTTTAACTCCTTTTGTAACAGCAATACAGTCCAAATGTAAAATGCCCCTTGCTGTGAGAACGGTAATTAACCTTTGCAGCAAAGAACTAGGAATGTACAACTTTGTATGTTCCTAGACCTGCTGTCAATCAGAAATGTCAGCCATCGAGTTATTGTCAATTTATATGACTCATGCAAACGCTGCTAAACTTGGTCTGGAAGTCTAAGATTCAAAAAACTCACAAAAGGGTTAAGCTGATCTCTTAAATATATATCTGTATTCACTTGAAGATCTGAGGGTTCTAATGAGAAAGTGAGCACCAGCCAATAGCATAAAATTTTTCAGAGGAACTTCAGAGCAGACTGTTAAAAGAAGAAGTTGGGTCTTGTATGATCAAATATGTTGCATTTTGGCATACTAGTGTTATCTGCTTTTAATTGGTTCCCATTTACTAGAGTTGAGTGCAATGGACTTTGATCTTCTTCGCTAACATACCTAATCCCCCCCACCCCCCCCACCCCTTTTTTATGTTTATTATAAAAAAAATTAACTGCTTGAACATTTTGCTATCTTCATGCATGAATCAACAATGACTGTGTTAGTAAATGGTAATCCCTCTGATCACTGCTTTCACTTATTTCTCCAGGGCCGCATGCTTTTCTCTCATGACTACGTCTTCTGGTGTGGTGACTTCAATTATCGCATTGACTTACCCAATGAGGAGGTGAAGGAGCTGATCCGAAATCAGAACTGGGATTCCCTTATACTTGGAGATCAGCTAGTAAAACAAAAAGATGTTGGACAAGTATGTGATCAGGGTATCGTATAGGGAATTGCAGATGACCGTTTTATGATGCAAATAATCATGTCCAGCATACGTGTCCTTTCCAGCTTTTTTAAGTGGTTTCCTGCTTCACCTCTGCACCCCCAACCACTTTATATTCAAAAGATAAAGGTCTGTGGGATTCAGGTTTCATCACATCACTTAATCTTAATGAGCTCATCTGAAAAGCTCCGAATCTTTTTAATTTGGTGGGTTTGTAGTATGAACTTTGTAATTGGATTATGTCCATTTAGAAACTATATGCCTTTTGCTTCCCAAGACCATGTACAGCTGATAAATGGCAAAATCATATGTATTTTTATTTTTTTAAATTGAATTCACGAAGCCTTATTGACTTGTAATCATTCAGTGGGAATAACTTATTGCTTTAAAACATTCTCATATTGTCAGAGAAGATCAAGAGGGACAGAACTGACTGTTTCAGGGTATAAAACTGCAGATAACATAAACTAATCTTATCTAATGTGTAAATTATCTTTTATCTCATTAGATCTTGTGGTTTAAGGCATATTCATTACAAAATGGTAGCTCTGATTATCTTGAAGGTAGGAAATGTTTTCTTTCTCCCCATTGAGGGACACTGACAAACAAAAAACTGTAGGCCAGGCCAGGATAAACACCTCCTACTACCAGCATGCCTCCGTTTTTTGTTAGTGTCCTAGGTAGGTGGGGGGTTTTTCTTCAGCTCTGCTGTAGAAAAAAAAAGTAATCCTTTCTTTCTTTCTTTTTTTCTAGCACTTTTTTTTTTTCTACTCCCTGAAACTTTTCCTTTCCCCCTGTATCCGGTGCCCCCAACTCACACTCTACTACCTGCTCCATAGCTGCTTGCAGTGCACCTACTGATGGTGCCAGCATCTGCAGCCTGGAATCCTGTTGCTCTCTGCTTCTAGGGTCTATCCTGTCTTCAGAATCTCTTTTTATTTCCATTTAGGTGTGGCTGGTTTCTCTGCCCTCTCATCTAAGGCTCTTACTAAAGTAATGCTAGATTTTATAGCCCAAACCACCTGTATGTATTGGATCTACCCACTGCCTTGGTTGCCTCTGAGCCATCTGCTACTAAGACTGTGATTTTGAGTTGCTCCAGTCTTTTCCTGATGAGCTTCTTGTGGAAGAGTCACAGTCCTTGGCCAATACCCCCAAATTAAGAGACCGTTTCGGCTCTTATTGATGTGTTGTGCTTCACTCTAAAACTAGAGGATGAGCATGTTTCAACCAGTACTATTCCCAGTGTAGGGACCTTTTAGACTCCATAAGACGGCAAAGACCTTCCGAGTGCACCCAGTTTTCCGAGTCTTCCTCCAAAGAGATTGGGAACCCCCCACCTGGCAAGAACTTTGCTCCCCCATAGCATTTATTAGCTTTGTACCGATTTGACCACAATGCTGGTGGGAGCTACACCTGCCTTTTTAAGAACCCAACCAGTAAATGATTGGAAGCCCTCTCTAGAGCCAAGGTTTGTCACCAGGTACAGGGATCCTGTTGCAGAAGCAGTGATTGCTCTGGTGTCTCCATGGGATCAGTACACCCTGATCTAGGCCTTTCCTTCACTGAAACGTCTTCCTGGTCTGCTTTGCAGGATTGAGATGGCGGCCATTCTGTTGATCTTCATTGTTGTGGACTGCCCAGGTGGCTGCCATACGTAGACCAGGCAAGACACTCCATGGACTCTACCAGATCGTCTGGATCTTCTATTTCAAGGGCCTATTTAGCTTCTTGCTTCCTAAGCTCTGGCTGTAACGTCATCGATGTTGAAGCTCAGGTTTTGAGAGGCTGGGTCATCTTTGGATTGGTGTTTTTTTAAGATTTTAAAGCCTAGGAGGTCTGCTTCTCACAAGGTCTATCATCGTACATGGCATACTTCACTTGATGTGAATCTCAGGACATTCACTCTGTGAGAGAGAGTCTCTGCCACTTCTTCTTTCAGAAAAATTGATTCCTTTTTGTAATCCCAGATTGGCTTTGTAAGTTTGCACTGGCTTCTCGTCCCATCATATCCAGGTGGCTCAGGCAGACCATCGTCCACTGTACTAGATCTGTATGTGGTTCTTGGGTTTTTCAGCATGAAACAGCTGTTTCCCAGATTGACTAGGCTGCCACCTGGTTTTCTGTTCACACATTCTACCAGGTGGACATTTCCACCTTATCTGATGACTACTTTGGGCATAAGGTCCTTCAGGTGGCTTTGAACTGCAGGCTTTCCACAGTTCTCTGTTGTTTTTTTGGCTGGTTAGCATGTGTTTTTTTGTGTTGCCCATCCCATCATTAAAACATCCTGTGTCCCTCAATGGACGAGAAAGCAAATATGATTTTTGTACTTACCATTAAGTCCTTTTCTTGGTATCCAATGAGGGGCACATTGCCTCTGTGTTTTATGATCATGCTCTTCGTGCTGCTTTACTACAAAAACTGAGGCATGTTAGGAGTAAGAGGGCGTATCCTGGGCTGGCCCAATTTGTATTTGTTTGCCAGTATCCAACCCTCCTGTAGACTGCAGTATAACCCAAAGGTAAAAGACTTCCTGTGTCGCTCTATAGTCACCAAAAAAGGTTTTTACAGTGAGTACAAAAATCCTATTTTAAACTACTGAACATATATAGTAGTTGCATTTGTCCTAATATTGCTGGATTTCTGGCTACTATTAGAATTTGTGTTCAGAGTTTGTTTTTTCTTCTCCTGCAGGTTTTCCGGAGTTTCTTGGAGGGAAAAATTAATTTTGCTCCAACCTATAAATATGACTTGTTCTCTGATGATTATGACACAAGTGAGAAGTGCCGTACCCCGGCGTGGACAGATCGTATCCTGTGGAGGAGAAGAAAATGGCCCTTTGACAGATCAGGTGATCAATTATATAGATTGTATTTATTTTCCTTTTACGTATTAAATGTTTATTGTGGTTTTTCCAAAAAGTAAACAACATACAAAGGACAAGGTAGAGTGGATTACATTTAGACGAGTGGTGTAAGCATAATACTCATAGTAGTTGTCATGCATCACTAGTTTTAGACCGGAAAAATAATTTTATTTTCCTTTTAAAGAGAAATATCAGTACTGTTAAAAAAAAATGTATCCCTGGTTCCTAATAACTAACTGAAATACAGACGCTGCTTTATTTTAATGATAAAAAAGATAGTATTTATTTTTTTCATGTAGTGTAAACATTTTTAATATAAATAAAAATATAACATTATTTACATAAGTCATCACAGCCCTTAAGGATCATCAGTAGTCAAAAGGCTCATTTCATAAAGCTAACGCGCCAGGATAAGTTTTTTTTTTTTAAAGGTATTTTCAGTTCATTGTATTTTGAAAATGACAGTCACATGCCTGAAAATAGAGAGCCTTAGGCTGATGTTAAAACTTTGTGAATTGAGCCTAACGCATCCCAATTATCATTTATATTTGCTTTTTTGAGCTTTTATAAGCACCTACTTTCATGTTGGCTGGTGGTGCAGAGTAGCGGTTTATGCTGGCACTGCAGTCTATAATCTCTATTTTGGATCCAGACAGTGTAGTGCCGGCTGCAGACACACCTCACAGCATGCTTTGTTGTTCCAGTGTCAGGGTTTTTGACTGTAATGTCTTTTCTAGCTCTGTAGAGCCACATACTGAACTACCAGATGGTCTGCAGCTGCTGAGTTATTACAGGGCAGTATGGAGGAGCGGTGAGGGCTGCTGGGTTTTCAGGCAGCTATAACTCCACATGATGGGTTATGTAATTTGCTGTAATTTGCAAATGGTCTGAATGATGGCATGCCTGAGGAGGCAGTACACCTCTCTTCTTCCCTCCTGTGACTTTTATCTGCATTCCTCTATGAATTTCTCCATTAGAGGAGAAAAGTTGACCTTGGTGGTGTTTTTTTTCTCCGAAGCTTCCCAAACTGATGCTATTGACACAGGATCTTGTTTCCAAATTGATCCTTTTCATCTTTTATTTGTGTTTATATTTCAGCTGAAGATTTAGATCTTCTGAATTCAAGCTTGCAAGAAGGCAGGAATATTCATTATACCTGGAATCCAGGAACTTTATTGCACTATGGCAGGGCGGAGCTGAAGACCTCTGATCACAGGTAAAAGGAAATCGCAATGATTTCATTATTCCATGTGTATCTCTGCATTCATTGTGTTCCTGACTCAATATTTATATTGTAGGCCAGTGGTTGCTCTAGTCGACGTAGATATATTTGAAACTGATGCAGAAGAGAGACAGAAGATATATAAGGAGGTGATTGCCACCCAGGGCCCTCCAGATGGCACAATTATGGTCTCCATACAGAGTAACTCCTCAGAAGACAATTACTTTGATGATAATTTGATTGATGAGCTGCTGCAGCAATTTGCAGGTTATGGCGAAGTCATACTTATAAGGTAAGATGACACTATAATGTTTTCTCTTGCTTCTAAATCCTGTTTCAGGCCATAGGTTTCTTGATTATTGTGTAACAGTAAATCGCAGTAGTTATGTTATGAAATATTCTCTCTTGACGTGAACATTTCTTGGACCTCCCATATTCCATTGGCCACTGCTGTAGCAGTGTGCAGTAAGTCCATGATCAGAAAACATTTTCTTGGTTAAATGTTTCTGCCATTGGGGAAAAAGGAAAGAGCGACACTTTTTTTTAAGAGGATACAATAGTAATAGCAGCTGCTGACATGCTCAATTTACTGTTCCCCTGGTGAACTAGACCTTCACTTGGTATACCTGGATGTGAACTTGAAGCACTGGCTTCTGTTTATAGTGCCTTCCAGCCATAGATCATGTATTTTTCATTCTGAAGCACCTTCCAGGCCACAGGCTTGCCCTGTCTCCGAAGACTCACTCCAATGTAAGCACACTGGGCACTTTTCAGGGGCCCCCTCCATTTTTATTGGTCTCTTAGGCACTACATACATTTTCCCCTTTTCCCACCAGCATGCTGTGGAAAAGGTTAATGCTACCAGGTGGAAAGTTGTGTGATCACGTTGAGCTCTCTTGCCCACAAGATAGCGGTGAGGAAGCATCTCTCTGCTACTGCCACTTCTGCTTTTCCTGCTGCTCAGGGACATGTGAACACAAACCTTTGGTTCATTCCTGCTACCCACCTGCAGTGATGCTTGCTTGACTGACCAGTCTTGTGTTTGTGTTTCCAACTAACCTGCTGCCCAGGCTCTTTCAGTAACTGAGTGTTTCCCTCCTCCCCTAAACATGGGAATTTCTTACCACTATTGCAACATTTCTGACTCTAAACATGAGGAGGATTGTCCTGCAGTCGTGAGTGAACCTAGCACACAGTCCATGAATGGGTTCTGCTCTGAATGCAAGTGCACCCATTAAAATTGGCAACCACTATAGTTGTGAGCCCAGTTTACCCCTAATGTTTATGTTGGCCCCGTCATCAGATTCCTCCTTTAATCCAATAACCATAGCTGCCTTTACACCCATTTCTGCAGAGATTTTTCCTCAGATGTGCAGTGGATCATGTCTCAGTTTACCCAACTGGCTTCTGACCCTGAACGTAGAGGCTGCAAGCTCACTACTGCGCTTCACCCAGTAGCATCTAAATCTGACTAGCTACTTTGACCCTGAGGAGTCACACTCTGCAACCAATACTGATAAGCAAAGAGAGACTGTCTCATCTCTCAATGATGCGGTATACACTGCCCTAAATGCGGAGAATCAGCCTGTGCTACTACTAACTTAGTGTCCCGTTTTGGTTCTTAAGAGCCTCCCAAGACTGCAAAGACCCTTCCACATCACCCTCTGATTTAGTTTATGTATGAGAACTGGAAACACCCTGAATAGCTCTTCCTCAGTCCTACGTCATGTGCTTCTCAAAAGAGTTTGTTAAAAGGAGTCGGCCCCTAAAATTGAGCTGGCCATTTATTGCTTATACAAGGTAACCACCATACCGATGGAGGATGCTTTTCTTTTCAGGGAGACCCTTCGGACAAGAGATCGGAAGCTTTTTTTCAGGGTCATGTTTTTTTTCTCTTCCATTGATGGACAGAGAGAGTCTTAAATTGCTGGATTATACTGCTGCTGCCTACAGGAAGTTTGCACACTGGTAAACGAGCCAGGATCGCACCTCCTATTCCCAGCATGCCTCAGGTTTTTTTTTTTTTTTTTGGGGGGTGGGGGGAGAGATGGGGCTTGGGCACCTTATTGGCTTTATCTCTGCTGGAATTCAGTGCTGTCATGTAGGACTTCATGGGCCAAATAGAACATTTTAATTGCTGACTCCGACTGCAGAGGCCACAAGTGTGCTTTCAAGCCTCCCCCTGCAAACTCCTTATCCAATCTGACTGGGCCTTAGTGACCCCTGAGGCCTTAGCTTTTGAGACCTCATCTGAAGTGTATTCTCTTAGGTCTTTAACAGATGAATCTACACTGGAGTAGTCGCAGTCTTCTGCCATCACTCCACAATTAATTAACTTTTAACTCACTTTTTATACACTTTGAAAGTTAAAAAGTGAACTGCCCCCTCCATGGATCTAGAAGTATCACATCTTAAAGTGTTGACCATCCCAGTGTAGGATGCTCCTGTCTTCAAGGATCCCATTAATAAAGGGCTGAAAACCCTGTCTTGAACTTTTGTTCTCTCTGACAGGACCTGCACTGCAACCTGTCTCCAGGTACAGTGATTCTCTTGCGGGAGCAGTGGATGCTCTGGTGGCTCGTTGGGATCAGTACAGTCTTATCTAAACTTTTACTTTCCTAAATGTTCTTCCTCATCTGCACCAGGTTCGTAAGTAATCTCTATTCTTGCCTTTTAACATGCTACCAGTGCCTCAGTATTGAGGCTGACTCCTTTACTACCCTTTACTACCCATAAGATTTGGCACTCTAAATCTGCCATATCTGCTGAGAAACCCTTTTAGGGATGATGGTGCACCCCCACTTTTCAGAGTACTAGTACACCTGTTTGTTGGACACTTAGAAATCATACATCCCCAATGCAAGAAGTGGTGGTTCAGGTTTACAAGCTCAAGTTCCATTCCCTTTTCCCCTCGCTTCCAATTTCCCATTGTCTTTGCAACATATTGCGGCCCATCTCCAGGCTCCTGGGCCAAGGTGTCATTGCCCTAGTTGCTGCTGCAGAACTCTTTCAAGGATGTATTCATTTTCTTTTTCAGGTTTTTATCCCCATTTTTTTCTCTCCCTGAATATTTTGCGAATAGCCCTTTTCCTACACCTTTGTCTAAACTCCCATCTCCACTGTATTTATGGAAGCAGCCATGGTTGTGTCACAAGCTGGACTTCAAACATGTCTGCATTTGTTCATTTTCACTGTGTGGTAGTTTTCAAAAGAAACATTCAATTGAAAAAAGAAAAACTGAAAGCTAATATAGCATCCACATTTAATCACTGGTAATCTACAATAAATCAAAATGTTGTTTTTAGGTTTAGATATACTTTAAATATGTTACACTCCTAATTAACCCACTACCTTGGGCACCCTCTAATGCCAGTCACATGACCAAATAGTGAGCCATTATTCATGTGATCTCGGCTGAAGGGGCTTCGGGGACAGATATTTGGCTGACGAGTGCCTCAGCCAGAGCCATGACACTTGCCTAAGATAAGGAGCACTGAGCAGCAGGTAAGCACACCTTTTACCATCAGTTTTTTTTTGCTAGTTCAGGACAGTCCAGATGGGGAGGGGGAAAGTTTCATAGTACGCTTACCCGTTAAACTCTGTGAGGGGAATTTATCAAAACTGGAGCAGACGTGCATGGCAACCATTCAGCTTCTCTCTTCTGTATGTTCAGTTGAGGTTTGAAAATGAAAGAGAGAAGCTGATTGGTTGCCGTGCAGAGCGCCTCCAGATTTTGTCTACTCCCAGTTTTGATAAATTCCCCTTTGTGTTATTTCAGTGAAGAGTAATGATGATTTTTCCTGTAGGTTCGTGGATGATAAAATGTGGGTGACATTTCTGGAAGGAAGTTCTGCCCTCGCAGCTTTAAACCTGAATGGTGTTGAGGTAACGTTATATATTTTTGTGTAAGTTGCTAAAACTTCGGCCACTACTGGCTGAATGCAAGAGACTGTCATCTCATGACTATTCAGACTCTTGGCACAGAGCAATGAGGTTTCCAGAATCTGCTTTTTCTGGGTCCCGTTACACCCATCTTCAGCCATTACATGGCCACTGGAGACGCCAGTAGCAAGATTATTTTTTCACTTCCTGTAACTTTGTTCTGCAATGCCGTCGCTCAGCAGCATTGTCACCCTGTAGACAGACAAGTCTTAGATGGGCATGTAAATTCAAATAGATTTTAAGTAAGAGAAAGTCAATTTAAATCCAAACGCCTTTTAAGCAATTACAACAGCAGTTTTTTTGTTTTAGAAAAGGTTTAAATCCTGAGAGGCTCAGCTGCCGTTGTGATGTGCGGGGTCCTTTGTGCGTCACTGTGCATTTAAGGGAGGTTGGGCTTCCTCCTGGCAAACCTGAACCCGATTTTATCTTTTGCCACATGTGCTCCAAGATGGAGACTCATAGTTTAGAGTTTGGACCGCTCTATATAGAGGTGCCATGGCGCGGCTATGCGGCTTTCATATTTTCTGCAGAAGACGTGTATCTAATCCTCTGTTTTTAACCTTAGCGGTGAGACAAGTTTTTTTGCATGCTGGCTGGTGAGTGTGCCCCTTAGAGCTGGTTACAAATTGATGAGTGTGTTTGCCATTTGTTTTGCCAGCCACTGTGACTGTCACTTTTGCGGTGTCCCAGCCACTGTGACTGTCACTTTTGCAGTGTCCCAGCCACCGTGACTGTCCCTTTTGCGGTGTTCCAGCCACTGTGACTGTCACTTTTGCTGGACAGCTTGAACTGTGAAACGGAACCCAATGAGGTTGGGCTGGTTGCATTTACCATAATATGAAGGCATGCACATCATTTTTGCACATTTTTGCACATTATGGCACACCTAAGCTAGCCATACACTAGTAAATTTTGTTTGTTCAGCCTGTGGGCTAAATTTTAAAAATCTAACATTCCTCCATCCATACTAAACATTCGGACAGCCGGTGACTGCCCTGCTGTCAGAATGCATGAACAGTTACTGCAGCTCATTGGATGCAGTCACTGTTCAGCTGAAAATGTTAGGGACAGCATCTTCAACAAAGCTTGATTATTCAGTTGACTGTTGAACCTCCACAGCTACCCACTGTCGACTGATTCTTGTGGATAGGCTGAAATTCTAACAGTGCATGGCTAGCCTTACATCTGGGTGTGCTGTCCTACAGCAATGTGAAATCCGAGTTCCCTGCATCCATTCTGTTCTTTCCATCCTCTTCCTTGTCCAGTACCTTCTTTCTTCACCCATTATGTGATAACTGATAATGTAACTCCCACCCATGCAAGCTGGAATTGCATTATCTCGCCACCTGGCACCATTATCATGCCAAGCATGAGCCAGGTCTGTACACTGTACTGTGCATGAATCGCAGAGTACTGATGCATTTGCTAGCAGACAGGTAAAAGAGCTTTTCAGCAGAAGTCTGCTAAAGTCTCTTCTACAAAAAGAACTTCTACCTACTGGCAAATTTTAGTTGCACAGGTTTAGTTTTGATTTAAAGGAAGTGAAATGGCAACTGATTTGCTGGCAGGATCAACAGGCAATAAAACTGTTAGCTATGTTAGGAAACAAAAACTGCTGTGTTAATGTTTTTAATGCTGCATTATATACTGTATGTAAATTTTCATTTCGCCCTACGTTCCCCTTTAAAGTTTGCCGCCATATGGGTAATCGGATTAGGAGGACAGCTATAGTGTCTGCCATCTACAAACAGTTTTCCCTTCTCCCTTCTCTGGTGTCACCAACCCATAATTTAGAGTCGGTGGCAATTATTGATTCATTGGTCTTTGTCTTTCATGAAGCGTTCAATCAAAGTGCATCATTCTGATTGTGCTATATTCATCCAGAAGCAGCATTTTTTTCACTGTACTGATACTGTTTTTGATCTGGTAATATCTTATAAAATATTTGATATGCATAATTTTCATTCTAGTGGGAGGATTTAGCTCCCAACTTCTCTGAAAGGTAAAGGATATTAGATTCTGCGTACTCACTTAATATAGGATGAATTATCGTTGTGTTCCTTCCTATTATACAATATGTGGAATAAGCCCCTGACTAATATAAGAATGATGGTTCACCTTTTTCTGATCATTCCCCTGTGATTGCAGGTTCTGGGTAAAAAGGTGGACATTCAGCTGAAGAACCCAGACTGGATCACGCAGGTGGAGGAGGAGATGAATCTGGAGAGGATAAGTATAACGTTACCGTGTTCCACCAGTTCCACCTTGTTGGGTGAAGATGCTGAGATTGCGGCAGATTTTGACATGGAAGGTGAGAGAAGAGCAGTCACTGGTTTTCAGCATATAATGCAAAAATGTCAAATTAATTTTTTCTGGGCCACATGCAGCCCTCTTATGTTGTCCTTGCGGCTCTGAGCCAGAATTTCTTGCACAGAATATATGTATCTTCAAGGAAAATACAACAGGAAGTGATGGGAAATCTTATTACTGCACAGGAGATGAGGGAAATCTCTGCAATGAAAACACAGACAACTATAAATACCTGGCAGACGTTCTAAGCCTTGCCAATTCTAAAATGAAGAACTTAAATAACATATTCCAGAGTTCTATGATTAGTTGCATATCTTTAGTAGTCTAAAAAATAGTTTTCTACTAATCAGTGTTCATTGCAGATTTAATCCATGAAGAGCTGATGTGGGGGTCAGATGTGCTGCACATTCTGTTATTCTAATAGATGCATCTGATTTCAGGTGACGTGGATGATTATAGTGCTGAAGTAGAGGAGATTCTCCCTCAGCATCTACAGCTATCTTCATGCCCCAATCTTGGCTCATCTCCCAGCACTTCTCCACACTCCAGTCCCTGTCCATCACCCACCATGCCAGAGGGACCTCCGCCTGCTCTCCCTGTTCGGCCAAGTCGGGCACTTGCAAAAACACCCGGACCTCCCGTTGCTGCACCCCAAGGTATTGTCAGCGTGTAATGTTACGTTCCTGAGCCTTAGCATATTATTGCTCTGCCTCTGTATAGAACACTGATCTTCAGCTTTGTGTGTAGCATTAAATCATCAGATGTATAGAACTTAAAGTACCACCATGCACTGCCGGTCAGCTTGTTGCATATCTTTGATGTAGACAAGGGCTGGCGAAGAAGTCAGAAAAGAATATGAATCACTGCACTCCGGGCTGCGGCAACTATTCTTGTTTATTAAAAAGCAGCAGGGGTCACCTCTGACATGTTTTCTAAGACCCTTAAAAAAAGCACTTCTCAGTGCCAAACGAGTCAGAGGTGACTACTACAGATCTTTAATAAACAAGAAAAGTTGCCGCAGCCCAGAGTGCAGTGATTCATTTTCCTTTCCAACAGATTTGCAGAGTGCAAGAAGCCAGACCAACACCCGGGGATTTTACATTAAAGCCTGTGGTGAGCCACTAGTCTTCAGTGTCATACATATAATCTCAGATGTTGTTGTGCAGTTTAGTATTAAATTTAAAAGAAAATGTGTGTGTTTCATGATTAGAGGGGTTGCAGCAGCTGTTGTAAATCTGGATCACAATGGCCAAGTCAGTGCAGTCTTCAATAATCACATGGCCTATGTGTGTCTGCTTCAGGTCACATAACCCGTAACCGAACCTCTGCAAGATTGGCTGTTTCCAAGTGACATCCTGCCTCTCTAATGCTGAAAACAGCAGGACCGGACGGAGTTGTCACAAATAGCGTTTGGGTAGGGTTTGGTCCAAACTTGAGTTTGTCCGAAAGGAAGCTGTCAGTGCAGGCCCAACCAATTGTGGCCAGGGCATTTCCTGCCCTGCAGCTGCACGTTAACAAAGGGGCAGGATGCTGGTGACATCATTGACCTTTTTATAGCAGCATGGCAAAGCAGAATAGTATAGAGCAGGGGTATAAGCAAACTCCAGCCCTCTAGCTGTGGTGCAACTACAAATTCCATAAGGCAATGCAAGACAGAGCCACAGGTATGACTCCCAGAGGCAGATGCATGATGGGATTTGCAGTATCACCACAGCTGGAGAGTCGGAGTTTGCCTATCCCTGGTGTAGAGTCTCATTTGAGTGACAGCACTGAGGCTGCTAGCTTGTCATCTAAGGACCGGTTCACACCTGGGCGTTCTGTAGCACGTTCCTACGCTCTGCAAAACGCTCAAACACCGAAATCCCATTATTTCCTATGGGTATGGTTCACACCTGGGCGTATTACAGGCCGTATGAACGCGCTACGAAACGCCCTACGCCCAAAGATGGGATACAGCCAGGTAGCCCTCGGAAATGCGCCTTTGTCAAATCGCGGTAAAAACGCGCGCCAGACGCGCATATTCGATACGCCTTGGTGTGAACACAGCCTAAGAGTGTGGTGCCTTGCAGAAGTCTCGGGACTTTTGAATGACTACAAATGGAGTCTTTTTTACAAGTAAATAACGTTAATAAACAACATCTACTCTCTGCTTTTGTAGGATCTCCAGTGGACTTCCAGCCAATAGTACAACAAAAAGAGCAATCTCTCACTTTAGAACCAAAGAGGCTCCCTCCTCCACGACCCGGTATTCCACCAGCACGCCCGGCACCCCCTCAGCGGCCTCCTCCGCCATCAGGTAGGTCACAGCTTCAAGTCATTACCAGGATATTGATCTGTTGTATTAATTATGTTTGTGCTTCATCATGGCTGTGCAGATTAGTTTTGCTGCCATATGATGGGCAGTAGAGAAGGTATTGTTGTCTATTGTGCCCAAGCAGATGCTTATCTTCATGTTCTTAAAGTTTCATTGCCCACCTCAACATTCCAGTTTTATTTCAGTCAGTTCACAGAGGCTTCATACTGTAGATATCACATTGCAGAAAGAGATTTTTTTATAACCTACTACTGATCCACCTAAACAGATGTTTGAGTTTTAATTAAAGACTCAGAGGAACCGCCCGTTATATCCACCTTTCACTTTTTTACTGCTCTTTCTGTTGACTATCTCTTCACTGTACTTTCCTTCTGCTGCATTTCATGTTGCTGTCATCAGGTGCTCGAAGTCCAGCACCAGCTAGGAAAGAGGTTGGAGGTAAGGACATAGCCTCATCACCATCCTGTGCCCCATTACCATCCCGTCTCCTTCTATTTTACCCATAATGGTTTCCTCCCCACCTACCATAAATTCCATAATGCTATTTCCATCTGTTTTACTTATGGTGTACCTCCACAATGTACAAAGCTAGAATATGAGAGTACGGAATGCTTGAATTGAATAAGTTTCTTCTAATTCCTGGATTCCGATTGCTCAAATGTAATAGACATAAACAGTCCCCCTCGGATTTAAGATTCACATGGGGTAGAATGGACAGAAGAATGCAACCACACCTCAGCATGTCCAGCAGGCACATACACAGTATGGCTCCCAATAGTGAACCTGTTTTGTTTTTTAACCATGTGGTGTCTGCTATGAGCTTTATTAGTCAGGAAAACCTCTTCTCTGTGCCTCAATGATCCAGGCTACACTTTACTGCCAAGGACTGAATGCTTCCTACTGGACACCTGTTGTCCCCTGAACAGTGAGACTGCCTCAGTGACCAGTAATATTTATTTCATAGACAGGAGGAGGCCAGGTAGGAAGAGCTTAGTCCGAGGATTCAGTTGAGGAAGTGAAGTCGTTGGTGACCACATGAAACCAGGATCAGAGCAGAGGCTCCTCTTGCTAAAGCTGACCATACACTGGCCATTTTTATTTTTTATTTTTTTATTTTAACCCTGCGGTGCTAAACAAGAAGAAATGCTCAATTTTACAATAGCCTGATGGGGGGGATCCCCCTTCTAAGCTATTTAGCATAGAATGGCGGATCCCCCCCCTTCCCTGCCAGGCAATTGTACCCTGACAGCAGCTGGTTTCTAACTCTTTCTCAGGATACCTGAACAGTGACTGCAGCTTTTTGGGCAAGATTTTTCAGACCAGTTCCTTCAACAAAAGTAGATTGAGGGGACCACACATTGCTTGAATTTTAGCCAAGCCAACAGGCCAAAATTCAAGCACTAGCCAGCTTAAGAAAAGTCAAAGCATGCATATTGCAGTGTCTGCTCCTTTTTACAAACGTTTGTTTTGTACGTTTTAAAGTAGCTGACAGGTTATCTTTTATAGCAAGGGTGCACAGACACCTAATCATTCTAGGTGTCAGGTTTTTATTGCTGTCTATGTCCCCGTTGGGGAGATTCACTTCTATTTATGCTGACCAGGAATGAAACTAGGGGTAGATCCAAATTCTGAGTTGCCACCAGAACAGAGGGGAATCTTCCAATGGGGACATTGGAGACGATTCCTCTCGCATTGAAAGGATATCCTCTTCCTAATGAGTCAGCAAGTAATGAAAGGAAATCTCACCGTCGGAAAAAACGTTTTGGCTCTTAGATGTACTGTACTTCACATTTGCATAATAATCAAAATGACAACACCTACCTTCCATCCCTACCTCATTTATAGCACATGCAACATTACAGGCAATCGGTAAGCATTCTGCAGAAGACAATAGACGCTTGTCAGGTGCTATGTTCCCCGTGTCCATCATTTTATCGCTGCTGGAGTCTCTGTCCCTGCAATCTTTTGTGTTTCTTCTCTCTTTGACAAGGTGCTCCTCCCAGCCCCGTGGTAGCTCGTAAAGACGTGGAAGGTAAACAGACAGCTGTGCTGTGGATCAATAGCTGCATGAGTGTACTAAGCATGTGTCATGCCTGTTAATAGAATGCCCGCTAATGTCATCCAGGACATAACTACGCTCGGAATTCTGTTTCTGGTGATTGCTATATGCATTGTTGCCTAATTATTGCTTTGTGTCCAGTAACAAAGGGTGATGGCTTGCTCCAGCTATTCATCATTCATTCAATTTATTTATATGGTCAGATAATTGTGGGAATCCTTGCAATAAGAGCTCCCTGTCTCCTGGGATTTAGATTTAATATACCCCCATATGCCTAGACCGTGAAAACAGTGCATCTCTGCTGTTGCACAAAAAGGGTTAATAATACAGGTGAAGCATCTTGCGGACCTGGCAGGCGTTATTCTGGTCATTATATAATTCCTACTTAGTCATAGGTTTATGTGGGCAATGTAATATATCGGTATTATGTGGAGAAAACATAGATTCTGATGCCAGGTGTAGCTTTCGGTGAATTGATCTTTCCTTTTACAGAAACTATAAGTATGCAAACAAGGAATTGAATCCCTGCTTCAGCTTTGGAATAGCAATACATGTTTTACATTTGGAACCTCTATAAAAATAAAATTAAAAAATGTAGCTTTTGCTGCACTACTCACCTTCTCCCCCTCTGAGTCCAGTAGCTGCTGCCAATCATGCGTCCAGTCTCTGTAGTCCTTTGGACTCCAGTAGGTGTAGCCATCAGCCAGTCTGGTGCATATATCACTGCTGTGAGACATGTGAGAGGTGCTCTACTCTACCCTGCCCACTGGACTCCGCTGTATAAAAGACCAGGAGGAGGTCTGAGGTCACATGATTGCTACTTAGGGGAAGGTTTTCCGGTAAGGAGAAGATTTGTTTGGTTTTGGTTATTTTATTTTTTTTAAAGCAAGAACGATGTGCAGGGAGTTGGAGGGAAGGGTAGGTTCAAATAAAGTTAAAACTGGTCTACCAACAACTCTGTAGTGCTAGGGCCTGCCTGATTGGATACCGATAAATTACATTAATATATTATACGAGTTTAGTTCAAGTGGGCACTCATTACATGGTTTTAGTAAATCCAAAGTTAATTGTACAGAGATTGTATGGTTTAATTGTAACCTGTGTGGTGAGCTTTAGGGTTACAGGTAAGGTTAGTGTTACTAGTGCGAGGCTTACACGGGGCAGAAAAGCATGAGGCTTACAGGGATAGTTAGGGTTGCAGAAAAGGTTAGTGTTGGGGTTGCGGAGAAGGTTAGTGTTAGTAGGACAGGTAGTGTTAGTGTGAAGGTTGTAGGAGAAGTTACAGTTGGTGAAAGGTTTGCAGGGAGGGTTGGCTCGAGGGTCAAAAGGAAGATAAGTGAAGATAAGGCAGGTTAGTGTGAGGTACCTCTGTGTCAAAAACTACCAGTGCTGGTCTCATGGAGCTGAAAGCTAAATGTATGAATTGCTGAGTTACTGATATTGGATATTCCAACCAACATTAAACACTAGCGCATGTCTTAATATAGTATGTAGCTGATCTAAGCTCTCATTTACAGATACTAATGTAGTGAAGTAGCGTGTTTCCGTCATCCTAATAATGCATGTGTGGGTGTTGCTTTTACTAGTGATGTTAACATAGAATTTTAATACTGCGTGCTGGTACCTCCTGTCAGCCATTTTGAGGGCAGGACCAGAACCCTGTACATCACTGAGTATTGGGCCAGCCGTACACCAGATAACTCTTAAATTTATATTCAGGTTTTTTTTCCTTCTGTTTTCAGTTCGTGGACAAGCTCCCCCTCCACTTGGACCACCATCTGCTGCACCCTGTGCTATGGTCAGGCCGGTGAGTGTTTACTGAGTACATAGATCTATTTACATTAGGGTTGCCACCTTTTCTTCAAGTGAAACCCGAACACTCTAGCGACACGCTGACATTTTTTGGGGAGAATGAGCCGTGACGTGTTCATATGTAAATAGCGCCACCCATTCATATGTAAATATCACAGTTGAGACTATTTTCAGTGGTGGGGCCAGTAGCCCCTATCTTAATTTTGGTTGTCCCTGTCTGCCTGACATCTTGTGTCCGGGTTTCTGCTGCCATGAAACCCGGACACAGCATTCAAAACCCGGACTGTCCGGGTGAATCCTGGACAGGTGGCAACCCTAATTTACATCAGTACTGAGCCACAAGAGCTAACAATCTAATTTACCTAAGACATATATTTATAGCACTGGGCTGGTTCTGAATGGAAACTAATGCAGCAGTATGTTGGAGGAAACTGGAGCAATCCAGAGGAGAAAGGACGTCATAATAATCAAATCCATTGTAGCAATTTAGCCTCTTTGTGCTTTTAATTGTTGCAATTGTTGGTGTAATTAGTTTGTAATTGACCTCCTGTAGGCAGATTAATCTATATATAGTTTGACAGAGCATGTATTGCCAGATAGTGAAGGATGAAATAGTCCCGGATCATTGACTGAAAAAGGTATCTCAATGTCCACACACACAAACGTGACATGATAGAACCCTTCATGAGTCATGACACACTGCATAGGATTAATCAGAAAATGAATATTGCAGCGGGTTCATAGTTACTACACAAGATAAGTAGCACCCATGTGTACCGTGAGACACACACACACACACCTCTTCGGCATTCAACAGTAGAGGGGAAGCTGTAGATAGATGACCTCATCAGTCTGTTGCTGCTTTTTCACTTTCCATTCAGTAAGCTGGGAGTGAAGCGAAGACATCCTGGGATTCACACACTGTGTGAGTAGTCCATACACCTGGCTGTGTTGTGTGAGGGGGCTTTGAAAATGTTAGCAATAAAGGGAGAGAGACACAAATAGTTTGGCAGTGGTGCATTTTACATGTTTCCCTGGAGTTCAGCATAAATGAACTGGAAATGTTGTAAATGCAGTATTCCTGTTCGTTAATCACTATTATTATTATTATTATTATGTGTAAGCAAGGTGAGGAAACCTTCCCAATAAGTAATGCCTTGGATGGCCCATTCACAAATTACAATGGTAACCATGCAACGTTTTTTTTTTCTCGTTCTCTGTGGAGGAGATACAGTAAGCTGATTGAGAGCCATGTCCCTTTTCTTCAGCTTGTGCTGCTCTGTATTGAGCTGGTAAGGTGTCCTGAGGACTACTTTACAAGTTCACTTGCAGGAAACAAGGACTTGATATTTAAAGCCCAATTGAACTTCTAATTTAAATCCGCTAAATAAACTTCAGGTGCATCAAAACAAAAGGTGTGCAAAGTTTTACAGCTTTATTTTCTTTAGAAAGCAACCACAAGCCTGTCACCATGCTGTAGAGAGGGACACTTGCTCTCTGTGTGGAAGCGGTGGCTGCTCTGCAGAGGTCCAACAAGCCTCCTGATAGGTTTGCGTTAAAGCTCTGAAATCAGCAGGGAGCAATAGTTTTGCTGACTGGAGAGCTTTAGATTTGCCTAAGCAGGGAGCATTAGACCTCTGTAGAGGGACCACTGCTTCCACACAGAGAGCCAATGTCCTTCTCTCCAGTATGCTGGCAGGGTACAGGCATATAACCTAGAAAATCTTTTAGGGATGCACCGATGCCAAGTATTTGGGCAAGAACTCGTAATCGCCTGAATGCTCCGATACCTTCCCTGATATCGGAACTTCCTCTCAGAGGAAGATTTCCTTTGACACGCAGTGCCATAGGGGAACGTGGAGCCAGCTTCCCGTGCAATCAGGAAGCTGGGTGGCAAGTAATGACCCGCCTCCCAGCTTCCTGATTCACCAGGAAGCCGACTCCATGCTGATTGGCTGGGAAGCCGCTTTCCTGGCCAAGCACAATCAAACCGGCCAGACAACATGAAGCCAGCTTCTTGGGCAATTAGATTGCCCGGGAAACCAGCTCCATGCCCGCGGAAGCACCGGTATCGGTACTCCAGTATCGACGAGTACCGAAATCAAAGTATCGGTACTCGTGCTTGATACCAAAAAAAACGGTATCGGTGCATCCCTAACATCTTTTATTCTGATGCATCTGTAATGTGTTTAGCTGATTTAAGCTTAACGTTGTTGGGCTTTGTTACCTTCAGTTGGTTGAAAATGCCAATACCACAGAAGAGATAACTTTTAGTGCTTGAAAATTCAGGCATTAAACACCCTTACTTTATAGCTTGCCTGCTATGTATTTAATACTGGATTTGCATGCGGATGAACAAAGATAGTAGCAGTTGGCCACCTAAATCTGCCTACTGCTAGCTCTACCATGACCTGTATTGATGAGAACCTTCACAGACTGCTGAACAAAGGGTGATAGGTCTCATATTGGTTACAAATGATCAGATCTCTTCCCGTATGGCCAGCTGAAGACTTACTTATAAAAATTGAGCCAAAACGAAACTTCTGCCCATGCCAACATGCTAGATTTCCTCAGTCATCCTCTACAAAAGGGAGCAGGGAACCCGACTAGTTGCTAAAATCAAAAGCTCCACTTCTGACTCACTGTTCTTTCATTTGGTTTCCATAAATCTGGTAATTTTTTGGGATAGTAGACAAAAACCTACCTTGAACTTTTACATCATTAGATGGTAAACATTTAATAGAATTGTCTATCCATAGCCAAGCTAAATATGGTTCTGTCATTTCCCTGATTGTACACGGCTTGCATTGGTTAAATGGGAGATATTTTAGAATTATATTTATGTAAATAAATATTATATAAATAAATACATTTGTTTTCCTTAGACTATTCCTCCTCGTGCAGGAGTAATAAGCATGCCTCAGAGCCATGGTGCACAGGCCAGACTGCCCGCCCCGGCACCTGTCAAAGCAGCTGGACCTCCAAAAGGTACAGTGTGTTCTGTTCTCTTGTGATTTGAGCCATGTGCAATGTCGGATAAATAGAACAAGTTATTTATTTTATTATAAAATGATGAGGTGAGAAAGTCTATTCACATTTGTTATCCTTTTACCTGTTTTCCTTGCATTAAGAAAGCAAATAATAACTCGATGGGCGAGCCTACTACACCAGTAGAGGCTGTGCCTCTTCCAATACATTCTGTACTCCCTTGCACTGCGTGCTGTACGCTGTAATCACATGTTTCCACTGTCTTAGCAAAAATGTCATGTTACGTTAAAATCAATAAAAATCTTTGGTTAAAAAAAAAAGCAGGAGACATTTCAGACACTCTCCAGTGTCTGTGTACACATCCTAGTCCAGGAGTCGTCCAACTCTCTGCTTTTGCATGATAGCCAATTTAATGTTGGCCTCTTATGAGGCAGTTTCATTCCAGACCCATAAGACTCAACATACTGTTACATATTTCTCATGGGAGAAGTCGATCCGGCCTCTAGACCGATTCATTCATCAAGCACCAGTCTGTCCCTAACCTGATGGCTCAGGAGTCTATTTTGGGGATGCTCACGAGGAATAGCCTGTCAGGTTAGGGAGGAGTGCTGGGCACCTTGTTGGTACAGTGGACATAGTCGTCAGATGCGTCTCATCTCCCATTCAGCATCCTGGAACTTAGGGCAATTTGGCTTTCTTCTCAGCGTTTATTATGACTAATGTCTTTATTCAACCTCAAATACTATGTAACTATGTAATTACATTGCCTGGCTGACATGGCTCTGCAACTTGTTTGTTACGGAGAAGGTCTCCAAGGTAATACAAAGACTATGGTGGATCTGTACTGTGCTTATACTGTGTCTCCTGAAGCCGGGATCCTTTTACCCTTTTGCCTGGGGTGTGGAGCCACAAAGCCCCTGTCCATTTTTTTCTTAGTGTTACTGACACATGTGCAACTCATCACATGCAGGTAGGGCAGGTGTAGGAGTTGGCATTACGTTTGGCAATGGGAAATCAAGTTATTGTGTATGTTTAGAGATGCAGAGTGGCTTTTTGGAGAGATGATGGTTTATGTAAACTTTTTAATTTACACGGTCCTAATTTCACTTGTCTGTTTCAGCTTTTCCCTCTCTTCCCGAGCCTATGAAACCCCAACTTGCAGCCGCTCTTCAGCCTAGTCCAACTGCCCAACCACCCTGCCAAAAGCTGCAAGAGCCTCTACAGCCAACATCCTCACATCCCACCTCCCCCACACCGCCTCCGCAGGGTCTAGACCCGGCTCCGCTGCCTCCTCCCCGCAGTCGTTCCTCTCAAAATCTGCCTTCAGACACTGTCGCTCCTCAACAAGTAAGTTCCATATCTTTGAGTTATAACCTATAGTATGTTGGTGGTGGGAAGGCAATATATCAGCTGCTTCTGGTGACTTAAAAGAGATCCTGTGCTTTACTCCTGTAGGGCAGCAGGTCACTTTAATGTTGGCAGCAGCCACTTGCTTGTTCTTCACTTACCTGCTGCTACCTTGAGACATTGGGAAGGAAGAGAAAAACTCCCTAATTCCAGAAGTGGTAAGCCACACACCTTCCTCCTATGTGATAGTGCTGGTGCCTGGTAATTGGCTGCTCAGGCACCAGCACCCTGGGCAGAAAGTCTCTAGCCCTGCGTGTGCTCTGACCAATGTGGACTTGTGAAGAGGAGGTAAGTATAAGCTGCTGTCACTGGCCTGTATTAGGCCCCATTCACAGTGTTAAGTCAGGCCGTACACATCAGTGCAGCGTGCATGGCTGTATTGATCTGTTCCCAGGAGCGACAGGTGCTGCGTGTGATTGCACCAGGTGTCCGTGCTCGCACGCAGACGGGATCCATCCCGAGTACGGATACCTGGACCCGCTCGGCTGTGTGCCTTCCCATAGGGAAGAACAGGCTGCCACACGCAACACCTGTCCCTCCCAGGAAAGACCTGATACGGCCATGCACGCCGTAGGGATGTGTACGGCCCGACTTAACGCTGTGTGAATGAGGCCTTAAAGTGAACCTGTTGTTTTGCTCTGCATGGGCGAAGTGCAGGTCCACTTTAAGCCCAATTTATGGAGAATATTTTTGATTGTGTAATAGCATGCAAATGGCTGCACATCAACAAAGGTCTCATTGGTGGTTATTCATTGTAATCATTTGTGATTTATACAGGAAAAGGAAAATTGTGGTATGCAAATCCTGCTAATAGAATGTCTGCTTCTTCGCATTTGTGTTATCAGATCTATTATCTTATTATGGGTTCAGCGTGTACTCCTTTTCATTCATTGTTTAGTTTAAAATGACTTTCCGAGGCAGTCAGTGAAGCCAGAACACAGAGTTTTGTTGGCTGCAGTATTCAGAAAGGACTCATGCACATGTTAGTGGTCTGTTGCCAATCTCTTAAATTAATATGAATCCAGATTGATTACAACTTTTGCAGTGTCTCATTTTCTTGAGCTCAGATCTGCAGAGTCTTCCTCTGCATATCACAATACAAGCAGCACCTTTGTCAAATGACTGCCACAAGAAAATTCTGAAGCTAAGAACAGATTTTTAATATTTTGTATCTTACCAGTCCTTAGATGCGATGGCTGCATCAGTTTTTTCTTTTTTTTTCACGCCTTTTTTTCCCTTTTAGTTTCATTTGGTGATACTTCCAGTAACATACTTTCTGTCCAACACTTACTGTACTGTATCTGTGGAGGAGCAACTGTGTTACCCTTAGATTGGGCGTGTGTTAAGACTACAGAACACCCTCTCCTCTTCTGCATAACATGGGGGGGGGGGGTTTCTGTCATTCACAGAATATTTCTGGAAAGGAAGATTACACTGGGATTTTAATTCAATGAGAAAATGTTCTTAGCCGTAAAAAGAATACTAATGCAGCTGCCACATCTAAGGCCTGGCAAGCTTCAATATATGACATTTGTGCTCGTGTGTACATAGGGATGCACCGATACCGGTATTTCGGTATCGAGTAAGAGTACCGATATTTTAGAAAAACTGTATCCAGTTATAAAGCACAACAGCTGTGCAGCATGACTTGGCAAACAGCATAGCATTGTGTATTAGTACTGCGATACTACACAATTTCTTATGGGGCACTCGCATCACTCCCCGCACTAGAGGAACCTATGGTCTGATGTGCTTACTGCAGCCATACATAGTGTAGGGTACATTACCTATCAGCATGTTTTAGATTGAAGGAGGAAATAGAATCCCTCGCTTACAAAGGGTGATAGAAATGTTGCTGTGTTCTACAGTACATGTCCTTCTGTCTTCTTACTGCACTATGCACAGGAGTCTGCACCCAGAGAATATTACTAAGAAGTTCTATGTCATTAGGAAGAATGACTGCATGGTTTGTCTTTTTCTCGCACTGTCTCTCTCTTCTAATGTCTTTTCTTTTCAATATTTGTCTTTTTATCACTAGCAGGAGCAGCCATCAGGGTAAAAGGTATCGGAACAGTTTAACCCTATTGTCTGTACTCCACCCTAAAATGTGCCATGAGTGACGGCCTTGGCTTCTGGTCACTCATGTCACTGATAACCATCACTTGGTTTAATCCGGTAACCATCATACCTCATGCATTGTCTTGTCATGATAAAGAAGGAGGGGACAATGACCAATGATCATGTAAAGCCAAACTCCAACCAAAACGCAACTTTGGACAGAGGAAGGGTTAGAACCTAGACATTAGAAGGATTAGCTATGGGAAGATTTTCTCCTTCTTACTGTGTGGTCATCAAAACAAAGAGTGAGGAAAATCAATACAATTGGAAACAGACAAGTATACCCAAAGGGATTGTGCCCTTTTCTCTATATAGAAGGGAGTGGTCCCTGCACCATGCATACAGATCACCTCATGTTGGATGATGCGGAGTAAAAGGTTGCAGCAGGTCCTAGTGGTACAGCAATATCATTGAGCATTTGCAGATCCCTTCCCCCCTCCTGTCTTATCGCCAGGCATGTGGGTGGTGCTCAGAGACGAAGGTCCTATAGCACACCTCTGTTTGAACTTTATTGTTGTACGATTTATAAAATGGCTAAACTGTGTTACTATAATAACCTGCAGAGTGTGGAGCATTCATTCCTCTAAACTACACATCCCCACACGTCCTTACCCTCTCTCCTGTGCGGATCCAACAAGTCTCTTCAGCTCAGGTGCTGCCTTTGTGTTCCAGCCAGGAGGAGAACTAGCTTATAGGATGCCGGAAACAACTTTTCTCCGTATGCACCGATCTCTTCTCCAGCTGTCTTTGCTGCAGTGCTCAGAGCAACAAAACTGATGTTAATACCTCTGGCCCCTGTTCTGCTCCAGGCAGTTTCAGCTCTGACCCTCCATTCTACTACTATCAGTTCTCTTTGCACATCCCTCCCCCCCCCATGGCTAACGAAACTGTGCTAAGAAAACTCGAACTTAGGTGATCTAATATGAAGGAAGGAAGGGGAACTGGGCACAGGGCACATACAATGCAGTCTTATCTGCCAGCTGCCCCTTTCCGAGACCCCCCCCTTTACAATATGAAGAGTCTGAAGTGCAGTCAGTGTGTCTGTGTTCTTTATCATGACATAATGCATGCAATTGTTTTATTAAAGGCACAAGCCAACTAAAACTGATATTTTTGTATTTGGTGGATGCTGGAGAGTTGAAACACCCGAGGGTTTCCTATATGCCTCTGAGACTCAATTGGTGAGGACTCTGTACTTGTTCCAAGCCTGGGTTACTGCCACACTTACACTGTCTCTGGTGGAGTCTCAACAGGTTATAAGAAGCCAAGAAGGAACAGTACACAGGGCTCCACCATATCTGAAATACCACTTGAAGGTGAATTGACACTGTAACTTTTACTGCTGCAAAACTTGTATATGTTTAACACGTTAACAGTTTTTGGAGGAGCTTCTTAGTCATTTAACTCGTTTTGGCAATGGTCATTAATGGCAGCCATCTTGCTATCATTATTTAATTTTGGTTAGAGCTGGTTTGATATATTAAACCATAATTCCAGACAAATATCTTACTGAACAGAAGGCTGGAGAAATATACTGTTTTGTAAATTGTATGACTACCTATTTATTTCTTAGACCAGAACCTGTGTGGCTATAATTGCTGGTATATGTTTCTGACGCTTATTAGAACTGAAGAGACGGTTTGGATGAGCTGCAAAATGTCTTCAAGATTACATAATAAGTCCAGTAGAATGTAACCATTATTAGCTATACAATGACCTGGACAAATGAGACCCTTCACAGACCTACACAAATTATTATTTTGACATCCTGCATGGCATTGGGCTAAAGTACACTTTATGACTATAGGTTAGTGACCATTATATCAATATGAGCTTGTTGGACAGCCCTTTACAGAACCATGGAGATTAATCTGAAATTCCCCCTCCCAATGCTGCCGCTACAGCAGAGGCCACTCTTCTGGTAAAGGCTTTGCATTAGATTTTTGGAGTGTGTCTAGAATTTGTGACCGTTCAGTTAAAACAGCATTTTAACTGACACACAATCGGCTTTCCAGTTCATCCCAAAGGTGTGCAACAGAGTTGAGATCATGGCTCTGTGCTCCACATCAGGACTCGAGTATCTCCACATCAAACGGCTCTAACCATGTCTTTATGAAGCTGACTTTGTGCACAGGGACACAGTCATGCTGAAACAGAAAGAGATGGAAACACACAATTGTCTTTTCCCAGATTGGGATACTTGGATGACCTTCTACTGAGGAAACGGTCAGCACAGACTCAGTCAATGTCCAACAGACTATTTAAACTTTTGCAGAGGTTTGGGTAGATCCTGAACCTAGAAAACGTTAGTGCTGGAAATGTCTTGCCACTTGAGGTATCTAGGCTTTCTCTTAGATATGGCCCTGCCCATGATCTTCCTTCTACAGTCAAGGAGCCAACCTACCTTCCACTTTTTTTCCTGAGGCTTCTGGACTTGATGGTGCTTTCTTTCTTAGCAGTTCTGTATACCCAATTTCACCTTGCACTGTTGAAACTCAATATGTTGGGCTGCATGAAACAAAAAGGTTCCTGGAGCATCACTTACACCTGCATTGCAAGCCAGGCTTGCCGTGGTGTGGTGGCTATCTAGTCCAGACCTGGAAATGGGGGAAGAGGAGTCCTTTTTTCCACTGCGTTAGAAGGTTCTCATGATGGATGCCAGCCTGTCAGACTCTGGAGGAATCTTGGACAACATCCCGGTACAAGGGACTCATCTCCTGATGACATTCTGGAACTCTTTAGCAATTTGTTTATCTCTTCACTGCTGGATCGCTCAACTGCAGAGTCATCCAACCAGGATTTAGTCAAACAATGCCCCAACAGTGGGTTACGTCGACCACCTGATAAGATGGGTTCCAAAACAACATACTTCCAAAGCAGGTTCTAATGCCACCTAAGCTGAAACCTCTTTATCTGTAGGCACTGTTTGAATGAAGATCTAATGCTTGCCTGTTCATCTATTTCCCTGGGTTATACTTTACTCGACATGACTCTAGCTTAAATACTGAAGGTTGGCCATTGACATCACATGTCCTTCCTCTTCTCCTGCAGCAGTGGCAGTAGACGGCTCTTACTCCTGGACAGAACTGCATTGATGTAATGCATGCCAGTACTGCACTATCCAGGAGTAGAGTGAGCCCAGGCTGGCGTAATAGCACACCCTCTGGAGTTGTCCATGACTGTCTGGACTCAAAGAAAGTGGGTTTAATGACAGGGATCATTCAGTCCAGGAAAGCTTCAGACCAGTGTTGGGTCTCAGAGCTGTGAATGTGTGGGAGGGCAGAGCTGAGGAGGACAAGGCTGTTGCATCCAGCGCTACTTTTTTTTTAATTTCAAATCTGCTGGGTGATCATTTTTTATTTACTTTGGGCTTTTATTTTTTTTAAAGTTGGGTTTTTATTTTTAAGCAAGCAAACCCTCAGATGATGACCTTTTCATTTTGTGTTCATTGCTAGCTGGGTGAAATTCCCAGTTGCAATATAACACAGTACCATCTTATCTATGCAATATCAGCAGAGAACCATAGCACCTGGCCTAGATTTTCCTAGCGCTCGTAGGTATGAAAGGCTGGTGTCATTGTGCTGTCATCTGCACCTTTCAAGAGAATAACTGTTGCACCAAAAGCATTTGTTCCATTTGACAATGTACTTTTAAGGTGTTCTAAATGTTACCGTTTCTGAAACCTCTCACTAATAATGTTGCTGAGCTGCTTTCACGACACATAATTGTATGAGATTCTATTGTGTCTTACTCTACTGCCAATGATTCAGCTCTTTAGAGAGCGTCAGTTTTATTTCCTGGGGTGCGGTGACCATTACCATATACAGCCCAAAGCATAATGGTGTCGGATCCAATAACCTGGACGGTTATTACATATGAATAAAGTGTTCTAAGAAAATTCATTTCTGTGTATTTCTAGAACTCCTCTGAAGCAGGCGGTCCATGTCATAGTTTAGATGGACTGCTGAGCATGAATGATGTTTCTGCTGAGCTTTGATTGCATGTAGGTGCTAAACCTCGCACCCTCCTCTCTATTGTCTAATATCAATGGCACAAAGCTGCCTCACCACTTCATTCAGAAGAAGGTGTAAGAATTGCTCTGCCCACGGGATTAAAGCATGCCAGTTTAGATACTACCAAAGATGTGGCCTGTGGTGGTTATAACTAGGGATGGACCGATAATGTTTTTTTCAGCATGGAGTATGAGTAACCGATTGTATTTATTTTATCGGAACTCGCAGATACTGATACCGGCATCCCAGGGTACGTGCGCCCAGCTTCCTGATTGGGCAGGAAGTCAGGCTGCTAGCAACAAGTGAAGCCAGCTTCCTAGCCAAGCAGGGAGGCGGGTCATGACGTGCCACCCGGCCTCCTGATTGGCTGGTAAGCCGGCTCCATGCTCCCTCTAACCACAGGTTCAAGTATTGGAACATTTGAGCGAGTACTCGCCCAAAAACTCGTTATCGGCACTGATGCCAGTATATAACCTTTGAATTGTACATCATACAGTAGGTATGCTCAGAGATCATATAAAACCTGCATATGGCTTAGACATTACACTGCACTAAACACGCACAAAAAAAATATTTTAAACTTTTGTTGTTGTGATTTCGGGGTTCTACACGGACATTTTACAATTCTTCTTTAGAGTGTATTTCCACTTTTGCAGTCAAATTTCGAGAACCCCCCCCCCATATGATTGTGTTCCTATTCGCAGACAATAGTTAAAAAAATATATATTTCTTACCCTTAGAAATCTCTATTTAGCAGACCTTTACATGCTCCTCCTCCTCAATTTCAGTAACTGCAAACTTGCAAACTCTATCCGTCCTAACAGGCTGATTACCATACAGTTGTTGCAGGGCTTTAACCCTGTGCTAGGAGAGACCGTCTTGCTCATGTAGTTTATAAGTGATAATGAATTTTGCCAGCACAGTACAGACAGGGTTAGTTATTTGAAACAAAAACGCCTCCCCAAACCCCATTCGGTAAGAACTAAGCAGGATTTTCAGTGCTGGAATTAGCAGAAAGAGCATCTAAAAAAAAAGGTGCTGTTTCAAAACGTCGCTCTGATGATGTGACACCTGTGAAGTCAACAAGCATTGACTTTTCTACATGCTGGAGTGCTGGAGTGACCTTTTTTGTATTTATGTGTCACTCCATTTTGGCTTTAAAAGTGGAAATACAGTTTAAGTCGTACAAGATTTATGAATGGGGAATGCATTTTTTAATAACGGACTTCTATAAAATAATAAAAGTCAAATTGAAGTCCTAGACAATACATTTCTTGAACAAACAAAAATGTCCGAATTAAAGAACAGCTTTTTTACTGCAGCGGTAAAAGCCAGCAGGCTTTCTGTGGGAATAATTCAGATCTTGTCTTTGGCTTTTGACTAGACCACACAGGGTTGTATTGAAGCTTTAGCCTAGTTATTGCATGAATATTCCATGAAGCATCAGTCAAAACCAAAGACGGTTATGTTTGGCCGTTCCTTTTTTATTTATGTCAGTAGTTAATAGCTCGTGCTAGTAAATAATGTTGTACAATCCTTCATGACATACCATCGTGTTTGTGCTCGTGTAGATAATAGATGATAGTTCCTTGCGGTTTTATGGTGTTTTTATCTTGTTTTTATGGTCATTTCTCTTTTTTTTTTCCTAACAGAATCCAGCGAATGGAGTCGGTGGGTTTAAAAGTCAGTTTGAAAGAGATCCTTTTGCGGACTTATCTTTAGATCCCATGTTCATTACCAAGCTTCCTGAACTCCACACCATATCATCTGCTCCATCATTAAGCCAAAGGGAGCCAGTCCTGTTGCCTTCTGCAGTACAAAACCATGTTCATACCGCCAATAGCCTGCCTATACTGCCTGCAGTCCCTGGCCGGAGTGTATCACAAGACAGTCTGCGGATATCCCCCAATCCATTCCTTAACAGATCCAATGCTATGAACTCTGCCAACCCATTTAATGAAAGCTCAGCAACTGCTGGAAATCCGTTCAAGAACCCGACGCCCTCTTTGACTGCTCCTACATCGCTGCCGACCGGAATATGTGAGCAGTTTCATTCCACAAGCCAACCTGAGCTTCAGCACAGCAGCCCAGTGTTTACCGTGGGGCCAGCTGAGAAAAGTCTATCATTGCCCCATAATTTTGCCTCGATGCCGGAGTCGAATCCTAAAGGCTGGGTAACTTTTGATGACGACAGTTTTGAATTGGCTGTAAACAGGTTAGCCAGCAATGGAGTGGAGTTTGATGGCCTCGAGCAGTCCTCTTTGGATAGCAACCGGAACACAATCCCAGCAGGGTCGTTCTCCCAATCGATGAGGAAACCCCCACCACCACCTCGTAATCCATCAAGGACAAATTTCGACCCTTCCACCAAAATATCAACCCACTCTTTTCCAAGTCTGGAGTTCACTGACCGGTAACATGGAACAGCAGTTGAGATGACATAAGCGTGCAATAACTGTGGTCAATTCTGAAGTTCATAGCTACTTAATATAACCTTTCCTATAACCACTATTTAATATATTTCTGGATTTGTGTATATCTGGGTAACATTTCAAATGACATTTTTTGTATGTGTTGTTGAACTTACTGTGTTTTGTGATTGTTAGGAAGCCACTTAAAATTGCAGAATGAATACATCAAATTTAGTTTTGATCTTTAATTGAAAAAGGACAGAGGTTTTCATAGACATGGTTTAGGTACAAGAAATGAATCTGAACTCCCGTTCTTTACGTCACCGGTGAAAGAGGAACCTGGCAGGGCCGGATCTTTGGTTTGCAATATACTGGGTGGCGGAAACATATGGAATACAGCTTCACTTCTTCTATTCTACTCTGCAGCCGGCTGTAGGGGACAAGCCAATCAGCCCTACACCCTGACTGAGCACAATGGCTGGTGAAAGAGCTGGAGTAGTATTACAATTATGGTTTGACGTGGCTGAGGGACCTGGCTAGATACTGCACATTAAAGTGGATCTAAACTCCGCTTATATTTTCCTCTGCTCCAGTGATGCAATATCAGTGAGCTCCCTCAACAGTAGTAACATCTTCCCCCTGCCTCTACCGGGTTCATGCACACGCATGGAAGTTCATCCATCTTTGAGCATGCAGCAGATGCCGGGACTGTACACAGAGCTGCGCATGCGCAGTGTAAAGAAGATTGCGAGGAGGAAGGTATGAAACCTTTGTTGCAAAATAGACATAGTATGGGGGGGAATTTATCAAAATTTGGAGCAGATTTGCACTGCAACCAATCAGCTTCTCTGTCTCATTTTCAAATCTTACTTGAGCAAACTGAAGAGAGAAGCTGATTGGTTGCCAAGGGCAACTGCTCCAGATTTTCTCTGCTCCAGTTTTGATAAATTCCCCCCTATGTCTCTTCTGCAATAAAAAAAAAACCTTCCTGCTTGCATGTTTGTTATCAGGCCACAGTTCCACTTTCAACAGAAATCTTCTACCAGCTTGAGACCCCTTCTCCATCTGCAGTCTCTTCATAAGCGATAGCTGGAACTTTGCAGCCACTTACATTGGTGGAAGAGATGATCAATAAGATACGTGAATAAGGTGTATAAAGAATTGTGTGTTATTTATGTCCGTATGGTTTCACCACCAGCAGTGTGATATACTGTGTAGATTCTTTATATGTAAGGCTCTGTAGTTAAATCTGGTCATGATAAAATTCAGTGTACCCATAGACATAAGATTAGGGAACAATGATTGCATTCCTGCCTATAGGTGACCGATCCATAAAGTCATCATCTGAGAGCTTTGTACTGCTGATTGCTACCGTCTCCGATCACCTCTGAGCTTTAAAAGAGAGCTTCTTGGATCCTTTGGCCCAATTCACCATTAACTGATGTTATCTCGTTGGCAAATGTTGTTGCCAACGAGATAACCGGAGCCACCGTCTACACAAGGCATTAACATGCGTGTTGTAACAGGGAGTTTGTACATGGTTATGGAAGGTCATTCTGAGAAACATTTTTGAAGTGATTGCATCATCTTCTTACTGTCTTATGTCTATGGGAACCTTTTGGGTGCTGCATAAGATGGATCCATTCTCAGCGGCAAAGAAAGGTTAATTGGGAACATCCTTTTGGTTAGATATACCCATTCATAAGACATCAGTGGGCAGTGATGTGCACCTACCCACAGTACTAGCATTACAACCTTGTACGTGTTGGGCATTGCTTGATGAGCAGCAGGGATTGAGTTGTTCTTGGTATGTTTCTAAATTTAAAGCCCAACTTCCAGCTCAGCCACCCGATCTCCTTCCCCTTCCTTTGTGCAGACTGAAGAGAGAAGCTGATTGGTTACTATGGGGAACTGCTCCAGATTTTGTCTGCTCCAGTTTTGAAAAATGTCCTCCAATAAGTTTAAAATTCATGTTTATTGATGAGTTTGATCTGTGAGCAGCTAGATATCTGGGGACCTGCAGCCAAGGTTCTGCAGACCTACTAAAGTAGTCAAAACTCCAAAAGATGGCGGCTGATTGGTTGTTAAGGATTTCTGCACTTTGCTTTTTGCCCACTGATGGTTCTTTCTGTTTTTTCGTATGTACTGCAGAAGTAAACTGCATTATAACTCCGAGGTGAGACAAGACGTACGTTGATCCAGTAACTTGAACAGGAACCAAATCTACTATAGTCTTCTCGCATTGTCATTGGGTGGTGTTGTGTTTTTGCATAATAACTATTGTGATGTCTAGACATGCCAAACATACAGGGACCAGTGTAGGAAATGTCTCCTTTAAGCGGCGATCAGATTATTCCTTTTATGCTTCTCGAACTGGTTGTCAAACATAATCGAGAATCTGTTGTTATGAGCAAGTCATGGGGACCACTGAGAAACGTCAAGGCGAGGGAATCGGTCAGAAAGGTAAATACTTGTGTGAGAAGCCTCTTTAATGCTGCAGTTCTGACTCCCAAAAACATATCCAGATAAATGATGTCCCTTGCTCTAAAACAAAAACAAACTAAATGTTTCACTTTTACTGGCATATTGTAATGTAACAGACATTTTAGATGAACTAGAACTTTTTTCTAAAAAGAATCTGACATGGGCAGCAGCAACCATCCGGCTTGAACTTTTCTGCAGTGCTCCAAGAGATTGTTACATTGTAAAAGAAAATGGCTGCAGACTCCTGGGGGTCTATTGATAAACAATTTGCAGGGCCCTTCGCCCAAAACGGTCGTTTTGGGCAGTTTTTTTTCCCAGTTGGAATGTTGTGCTGTAATATCACATTATGGCCGCTAGATGGAGCATTTCCCAGTGGAATGTCGTGCTGTAAGATCACATTATGGCCACTAGATGGAGCATTTCCCAGTGGAATGTCGTGCTGTAATATCACATTATGGCCGCTAGATGGAGCATTTCCCAGTGGAATGTCGTGCTGTAAGATCACATTATGGCCGCTAGATGGAGCATTTCCCAGTGGAATGTCGTGCTGTAAGATCACATTATGGTCACTAGATGGAGCATTTCCCAGTGGAATGTCGTGCTGTAATATCCCGCCAGCTGTTGTAGAACTACATGTCCCATGAGGCATTGCAAGACTGACAATTACAGGCATGAGTCTCAGAGGCAGAGACATGTTGGGATTTGCAGTTTAGGTGCAGCTGGAGGGCCGAAGTTGCCCACTCTTAGAATGAGAACATCATAGGCAGCATGCAAGTCGGAGAATGATAGTTTGAGGCTTCTTCCATAAGTATGTTGCTTCATTTACAGGTTCTCTTTCTTGCCGGAGTCCACGTTTCTATAGTCCAGACATATTGGGATTTGTATTTCCAGCACTGCTTTTGGACCACAAGGCTTTCCGTGTCTGGCACATGGACATGGTGGAAAGGCACGAGTCTGCGTTGCCCATAGCAACCTATCATACCTCAGCTGACGTATCCGCATAGAAAATACTGTATTCCATAGGTGACCCAGATACTTTCCATTCCCTGATCCAACTGTGCGGTTATTGCCGATTACCGCAGATCACTTTCTTTAAGGCCTCATTCACACTGCTGCGTGTATATGTGCGCACGTGCGTAGTACACCATATGCAGCATATGCAAATAAATGGCTCCATACACATAGCTGCATATGGAGCCATATATTTGCGTAGCGTAAAAATGTACAAAAACAGAATGGAACCGAGATGCGTATTTAATGCACAGACGCGCGTTTGCGCGCACACACGTGTACAGTTCATTAAAATTTCTATTACGAATGATGCATTCTGGGATTGCATATAGTACACGCACATACGCGCGTATATACGTGCATACATATGTAGCGGATATACGCAATATACAATTTTGCTCTTGCGTTGTGTGTGTGTGTGAGTGAGGCCTAAAGCTGAACTCCGGGATGAGCCAATATTGTCCTCATACAAGAGTCATGTGTATTCTTCCTGGAATCTTGGTGCGCTTTGTGTATTTCTTCCAGATCTGTGCAGTAATCCAGTGTGACACTTCCTGTAACATAGACCGGTCACTGCTGCTCCCTCTCTTCTTCTGCAGGGTGGCTGGTCTTGTATCCGCCCCCTCCTGTAGTAGGTGGGGCCTGCTGGGTACCTCCCACAGCTCTGCTATGTACAGCACAGTGATATTGTCACTTTTGCAGGGTAATATTGGAGTTTGTAAAGGCACCTGGTACACACAGACTGGATGTATATCCTTTGTGTCTATTAAGGAATATAGTTTTAGATTGTAAGCCCTCATAGCCAGGGCCCTCCTAACCATCTTGTCTTGTCTTGTACCTGTAATGCCTTCCTTCTATGGTAAAGCGCTGCGCAGACTCTTGGCGCTATATAAATCCTAACTAATAATATTAATTCCTGGGCTGGCTGAAGTTCAGCTTTAATGTTACTGATCTGTTTCATGTGTACACATGGCCGTCGGCTTGGGAAGATGTCCCCAGTGGTTTTCTTTTTTCCCCCCTTTTTGGTCCTGAATTTGATTTAAACATAAATCATTTTTTTAAATTTACAGCATGATGCAACGTGGACCTATAGACCCGTCTGTGATCAGTCAGCTGCCCCGTATACCCTATTAGGGGTGGGCAACTCCGGCCCTCCAGCTTTTGTGGAACTTCAAGTCCCATGAGGCATTGCAAGACCCTCACAGCCACAGGAATGACTCTGAGGCAGAGGGATTATGGGATTTGTAGTTAAAGCTCATCTGAGGGACCAGAGTTGCCCTCCCCTGGTGTAGAGGCACTCACTGGTCTTGCCCAGAAGATAAGTCAAAGCATTTTTTTGTCAACGTTTTTGGGGGAGCTCGGCCCATCTTTATCAGGACTGAACTCTTATCAAAATGTTGCTTAATAAAACGCTGACGCTTCGACTTCTCTTCACTGCAATATCCGTAGGTGCCTCTAGACCTACTTTGGATGTGTGTGGATATTTTATGGATGAGCACGTGGGCATTTGCCTTGCTACCCCTGGGGCTATATACATATATATTGTTTTCATAGACAGCGCACTGTATTTTACTGTTTACATGGCAGAGAGGGCCTGATGTATGATGACTTTGTCTGTGTTACCCATAGCAAAAAAAAGAGATGTACCCATTCTACCTAAATATTAAAAACCTGAAAACCTAATTTTATTTTTATATCAAATCTTAAAAAGTCATTTTAGCACCTAGGTACATAATCATGGGCCTCCTCACACTGTTGGTT